TTTGCCTTGCTGCTTGATCTTTCTTTTAAAGCATTCGTTTTCTTCATCATTTAATCTTTTAAATGCATCTTCTGATGTAAGACACTCACCTCCATAGTGTCTTTTTATTTTTTTTGTAGGTCGTTTGTTGTATGAACGACCATCACCCTTTGTGGCCATTAACTGTTCTTTCACTATTTCTCTAATGATTTTATTTCCAGTAGAACAATCTACATTTGATATTGATAGTTGATTTATTTTTTCATTGTTTAAGTCTTTTCCTACTGATATTATAGTTTTTTGTGAATTGTATTTATTTGTTGATTCAATAGAAAAATTTTCACAAGTATCGTTCTGATCATTGACATTGGTGTCTAAAACGATGTTTTGAGGGACGTTATTATTATAGTTATTTGTTTTCTGAGAAAAAGGGTGTTCATAGATTTCAGAAGGATTTAACTTGTCAGATGCTATAGCAGATGGATCAAAGGGAAAAATTCCAGTTTTGGCAAAGGATTGTACTAAATGAGCTGGCTTAAAGGAGGTATCATAAAGTTTTTTTAATAAAGATGGAAAAACAGATTTCCCAACCACCTTCAGCCTTGACTCGGTATACCAATTGGCCAGAATTTCACGCCATACATGTTTAACTTGGCGAAAGACTCCTACATCAAGTGGCTGAAGCAAATGCGAACAGTGTGCTGGCAAACACAAAATAGTTATATGATTTTCAACTGCTTTTTTAACAGTTTCTAAAGAAATATGACTAATGTGACCATCAAAGATAAGCAAAACAGGCTTGGGTGTGTCTTTCAACCATAAAACAAGATGGTTAAAGTATTCAGTGAAAACTTCTGTTTCCATCCAACCGTTTTTTGTCACCCCATATAAGGAACCATTTGGTCCACCAGTCATCCACTCTTTATACAAATTCTTCCCAGCAAATAAAATAAATGGAGGAAAATTTCTTCCTGCAGCTGATATTGTTGCTAGTACAGTAAACTGTTCTTTTCCTGATCCAGGAGCAATAGATACAGGGTTTTTAATACCTCTTTTGCAAATAATTTTTTTATTTATTGGGTTAGTGCAAAACCCACTTTCATCGCAGTTTAGTATTTGGGCAGGTCTATTCATAATGTCACATTTTTCCAATGTTGCTTTAAGTAATAAAAACCAAGCATCAATTACAGTTTTATTACAAGCTAAGGCTCTTGTTAATGTCAAAAGCTCTGGAGTTCTTATAGATATTTCTTTCTGCCAACGATTTAAAAAATTACAAAACCACTGATCACCAGCAACACCATTAACAAATTTTTTCTGAAATCCGTTTAATTCAATATACTTTTGGAAAAGTTTCATAAATTGTTTTTTATCTAATCCAAATCAAAAATCAGAAAATGCAGATAAAAGTGAAACAAGATCTTTTTCAGCATCAGCAGATAATCGGTTTGGTCGCCCTTCACCAACTTTTGAGCATTTTATGCCTAGAAGATGTCTTGCAATTGTACTTCTTGGAACACCATATTCTTTTGATGCAGCATACGAAGTCATTTCTTTATTTTTAACTTTCGAAATGGCATTTTGCAACAAATTAGGTGCATATGTTTTTCTTCGAGATTCTTTTTTCTTAATGTAGTTTCTTGGCATTATTTCAATATATTATATTTCTGAAAATAATTTTAAGAATATTTAAAAAAAAAACAACTTATTTTAAGAGTAAACAATTTAGTTAAGTAATTACAATTTATATATTCAGTTCTACTAAAAATATTTGATGAAAAAACATAAGAAAAAGACTAGTTCACTTTACCCCCAATAGGCAGAAAAATAAGGGGTAAAGTGAACTAAATTGATTTACAAACTAAAAGCTTAGCTTTTTTATATTATGATAAAAACTACAATTTTTTTTTAACAGCATTATATTATCTTTAAAATGTATATAAATTATATAACTGATGTTCGCATTAATAACAACAAATCATGAATTTACTAAAACCCATAGCAAAGTTTGAGATCGTAATTTTAAAACTTCCGCCAAACTCGCTTTTTAAAATGGCTATTACATCAAAACAAAGGCTATATTTTATTAATTTTTTTATTTAAAAAATTTCAAAATGTTGTATTAAGCAAAAATAATGCTAAATTACTTAACAAAAAGTTTTTTAAACATGATAACTTTTTAGTTTAAAAAAATAGTTCACTTTACCCCTAGTTCACTTTACCCCAGTTTACCCTACATGATAGAAAATTAAAATCAGGAACAAATGATAACGAAATGTTCTCTCTAAATAAATATGTCTGGGTTCCAGATAAATGCTTCCGATTTCCTTTAACAGGTAAAAGCATAAATAGACATTTTTTTCTAAAATGGTTAGATGGACTTTGTCGGCTTTGTTACTCTAAAATTAAAGATGGTGCATATGTCTTCCACGTACACTTTTTAGTACAAATTTACAAAACAAGTATGCATTATGTAAGTTGTTTAAAACACTATTCAATACCTGACGTAATGCTGTAAGAATTTTTAATGATCATGGAAAACTGTTGACGGATTACACATCAAGTCCATGCATTATTATTATATGCTTTTATCTAGAATTAAAAATAACACTTTTCCTAATAAAGTTTCTCTAGATATTTCTAGGAAGCAGCGTATAGAAGGAAACAAAAAAAAAAGCTTGAATCAATTGTTATGACTATAATATTTTAGGGTTGAAATGATATGCCTTTATAAGGTCATAGAGAGGAAAGAAATACCAATGAGAAATTGGAGAACCTTCAAAAATTACAGGGCTGGGTAATTTTATTGAGCTTTTAAACTTTAGAATTGATGCAGGTAATTTAATTCTAAACGAGCATCTTCTCTCTTCCCCAAAAAATTACACATATTTTAAAGACCATTCAAAACATATTATTTGAGTGTTGTAAAAATGCAATTGAAGAGATTTTATTAAATGAATATAAAAAAATTAAGTACTTCTCTATTATTGCAGATGAGGCTTCAGACTGTGCAACGATAAAAAAAACTTTCTATTGTGGGTAAAAAGCTTTGTGATCTTGATGTGTTTTTTGATAATTATTCTGCAGTATGGAAGAAATGTAAGACAATAATTTAAAAAAGTATAGTAAAGAAAAATCTTCAAAAGTATCTTCTTTTATGAAGTTATTGACAAACTTTTCTTTTATAGTTTCTTTAGTTTTAACTAAACAACTAATGGATTACTTTTTTGGAATTTCTATCAAATTGTTTAAAAGAAGTACAAAGAAATGCTGATGCTTACCAAAAAAAATTGTATAAAATTGCTCTTGCATTGGCTAAAATATTTGATATTGATGAAAAAAAAACCTAGAACATATGGTGTTCAGAAAATAGAGGTTTCAAATATGTAATACTGTATCTGACTATTTTAAAGTTTCTATTACATTTCCTCTTCTTAATCATCTTCTCAATGAACTAGAAAATATGTTTGATATTGAGAGCTTAATTTTTCATAATGGTCTATGTGTTCATCCTGCTAGTTTAAGAAAGCAATATTTTAGATTTTGTCCATGGAAAGTGGATATGAGAGGCTTTCCAAATATTCAAGAGACTTCATATACTTGCAACAATACCAATCACAACTTGTTATTGTTAAAGATCAATATCTACTCTTAGGAGAATAAAAACCTACACAAGGAGTACTTGAGTACTAGTAAGAAATTAGATCGAATTGACTTACCTTAATGTTTATTTATCAGGAAATAGTTTCTGGTATTAACAGAGTTATGGAAATATTTGCATCCAAATGAGACAGAAAATTAGAGTTTTTATTCAAATAAAAGTTTTGAAATGATCAGTAAAATTTAACTATTGTTTTAAAAGATTCTCTTAAATGTAAATAATTTCTCAATAGCCAAAAAAATCTATTCATTATTGTAAACTGTGAAGTTCATTTTTATTAGCAAATTATTACTATTCATTGTTTTATATATACTGTGAAACTCATATTTCATTTGCTATTTTTATTAATCCTTTAATAAATTAATAAATAGGTTGTTACTTTTTTAGTTATTACTTTATTTGTTGTATTATAATTTGTCTTGTTTATTTATTTATTAAAATTAATTTTTTTTTTTTAATTATAAAATGTTTTAAACCTTAGGGAACACGACAGTTTGCTGTTGGAATGCAAAGTCCTATGGCTTACCTTCTCGTTGGTACACTTTGTTAAGTGAGTTAGACAAGTATTACGTCAAATTTATGAACTAAATAGCCAAGGCAACATTTTAAATAACTTTATCATTAAATGGATAACTAAAAACAATACAAAATAACCTTTGCCAAGATTGAATTGAGTATTTAGAAGAGCTTTGCATTTGCAGAATATTGTCAAACAAACACGTAGTAAGTAGATTTCAATTACAGGTAAAAAAAAGTAAAATATCTGGGTATATTTATAAATGGGTAAAATTTATACTGGGTAAGATTAAATTATGATATTATTTTTGTAAGTCTATGTATATAATATGAATGATTTCTAAGGCCTGTCATTGATTCCTTTTATAAAAATTCGTCGGAGACAAAACATTACACAAGTTTCGTCTACAACGAATCAACGAAGTTTTAAGCCATATTTGTGAAAATTGTTAATTTATATTGTAGTAATGGCGCTTTTAAATCTAGAGTAGTTTAGTAAAGTAGGTTAGTCTCTCTACGTAATAAAGTTAAAAAAAATGATATACATGGCGTCCGTGGGAATACTTTTCACTTATCTTAAATAAAGACCTTATCTTATCTTAAACAGAGGGAGGGGATTGGGTGATGTCACCCCTTCTTCCTCCACTAGCCATTATCGAATTGTATTTCACAATTTTAAATAAAGTCGGCTCCCCTCTCCACATCCATCACTTCGAAAAAAAAAAAAAAATTAGCTATTTGCGCCGTCTGCGAACCCAGATATGGACACACAGATGCAAATTCCTGGATCCGCACCTGATATGTATATATATATATATATATATATATATATATATATATATATATATATATATATATATATATATATATATATATATGATTAAAGTATATCAAATTAAGATAATATTTCTGAGTACATCCAAGCGGAGTACCGGTTGTAACATAATAAATACAATCAGGGTCATTTGATAGCACTTGATCAAGCGTGTTATTAAAAAGTTGGTTTAGTGACAAACTGAGATAAGATTATCTATTAACAATTATTGATAGCATCTAAAAAATGTTTATTAGACTGCTTTCCACTTTTACATTGGCCACTCAAATCACTCCTAATTACACCAAAACCATTCCTAATTACACCCAAATCACTCCTAGTTACACCCAAATCACTCCGAATTTCATCCAAATCACTCCTAATTACACTCTGATATCACTATGATTAAATCACCAACAATTTTGTAAATTTTCGACCATCAATCAGACCCATTTGATTTACTCATGGTTTTGTAAATTAGATTCATATTGAGTGAACGGTTGACGATAAAACCAACAAAATATCATTTCCAATTGAAATCTGACATACTTGCTCACCTCTTTGTTTATCACTGAACGCAAAACTGACTACGTCACCTCCGCGAATTGTCCTGTTTTCAAAAATAGTTGACTAGATTTGTTGAGGATGTAGCCATGAACCACGTCTGATTGCAAACATATGCACTCAGAGAGACGCGGATAATTCAGTGCTGCAACTCTAGCTTGGAAATCATCCCATGTATTTTCACTGTACCAAACGCAGTGCCAAATTTTATTATACTTATTTTATTATCAATATTACAACTTTTTAATAACTTCATATGGCAATGATATTTCTTATGCTTTCTATAAGATATGTCAAACACTTTTGTTCTTAATACTTTGGATTTATTCTTGATTGTAGTGCTTTTGATTGACCGTAGTGTTTTTTATAATAACTTCCATGTTTAACTTCGATGGTTTTTTTTAGGTTGAAAATTAAATTTTACAAAACTGACCAGAAGGCTAATAGAATACTGAGAAATCTATCTGCATTCATTTTTATCTGCATATCTGTATGTGATAAATTAAATAAACTTTAGTTTATTTAATTTATCACATACAGATATGCAGATATATAAAGTTTGTTACTTGTCCGTTATGAGAGACAAATAATAAATTATTAGGTCAAAAATAGAGCTTTACTCTGCTGTTTCGGACGACTTGATGATGGAAGTATTTCGGACGACTTGATGATGAAAGTATTTCGGACGACTTGATGATGGAAGTATTTCGGACGACTTGATGATGGAAGTATTTCGGACGACTTGATGATGGAAGTATTTTGGACGACTTGATGATGGAAGTATTTCGGACGACTTGATGATGGAAGTATTTCGGACGACTTGATGATGGAAGTATTTCGGACGACTTGATGATGGAAGTATTTCGGACGACTTGATGATGGAAGTATTTCGGACGACTTGATGATGGAAGTATTTCGGACGTCTTGATGATGGAAGTAGAAGTATTTTAGACGTCGTGATGACGGACAAAAGAAATTTAATTTGATTAGGTATATTACAGCAATGAAATTTTTTCAGTTTTTCAATCCTCGTGTGGAACAAGTATTTTGGAACAAGTATTCTCCATAAGTTTGACTATTAGATGGGATTTTAGATATTCCTTTTAAATCTTTTTTAATGTAGAAATTAGTTCACATGTTAAACTACAATTACTTTGTACTTAAAGCTTTAAATTTTAATCAAAAAACTTTATATCTTTTTATCTTTTAAATTTTTAAAGAGAATAAAACATTACAATGAATCAATCAACAAAGTTTGATCCAGAGAAAATGAATATAACGGAAAATATTATGTCACACACACACATACACACATAAATTATGTTAGTGTAATCTATAAATAGTGCTCCATGTTCTTAAAGAACAGAGCAATAATAAATTATTGAACTAGTAGAGTTAAGTAAATTAGTAAATTAGAAAAGTGAATAGTTATTACATAATTAATTATAACAATTCCCAACTTCCTGTGAAATAATTTCTCTATAAATTGAGTTTTTTTGATGTTTAGACATTCTTATAGATGAACCTACTGATGGAGAAACAAGCTGTCGAAGAAAATTAGATAAGTGTTTTCACATAATATATATATATATATATATATATATATATATATATATATATATATATATATATATATATATATATATATATAGACATATATATATATATATATATATATATATATATATATATATATATATATATATATATATATATATATATATATATATATATATATATATATATATATATATATGATTAAAGTATATCAAATTAAGATAATATTTCTGAGTACATCCAAGCGGAGTACCGGTTGTAACATAATAAATACAATCAGGGTCATTTGATAGCACTTGATCAATGTAAAAAAATGACGTTTTGACGTCAGAACTCATTCTATTGCTTTGTTATTGTTTTTTCTGTTAATTTTTGTATTTTGTATTTTTTAACGGTTTTTCTTGTTTTAAAAGAATAAAATATGGCTGATGATTGCCGAAGGGCATGAAACTTCAAGTACCATCAAAAAGTTGTATTTTTTCAAATAATCAAACTCTATTATTATTATTATTGATCTATTTTGTAAACACTTACATTATATTGATCACTCTCAAACGAACAAGAGATTTTTGTATCTTAATTTGGTACAATAAAAACAACAATAATCAGCTCCGTACGTTGAGCACTCTTCTCAAGTCGTCTGCATAATGAAAAAAACTAACTTGAATTATTCAACCAAGAACATTCCGATTCCATCAATAAAGGACTACAAAATACAGTTACTTGATAAAACCGAAGCATTAATAAAAAGAATGAGATGGAAAGCTTTCTTTTTCATCAATAAAGATCAAAAAAGTAAGGAAAATTTTTATTATAACAATTACGGCATAAAAACATCAAATTACCCCAAGCAAATCTCCGACATGACTGCATTTGAAAACGATCTGATAGACCTAATAAAAAACATTAAATTCCGTAAAGTCTACAATAATTTCCAAAACAAATTAAAGAATGACATATCTACCATACGCAATAGCAAACTTACTTACACTTTTTCCGATAAAACATCCAATTTATATAATATATCTAAAGAAAATTACACCCATTTACTTACAAACGCTATCACCTCAACATACAAAAAATCGAATACAAAAATAAAAAACCAAATAAATAAAGAAGGTAAACAGATATTACAGAATCACGACGTTTTTAATAAAATTAATATTAACACACCTTCAAATTGCTTTATAAAATTAAAAGACCATAAAGAAAACTTTACAAACAATCCAACTGTCCGTTTATTAAACCCCGCCAAAAACGAAATCGGCAGAATTAGCAAAGTTATACTTTCTAATATAAACTCTGAACTTGTCAATAAACTTCACCTCAATCAATGGAAAAAAACACAAGATACCACAAACTGGTTTAATTGCATCAGAAATAAACACCTTTGTAAATTCCTTGTTTTTGACATTGTTGATTTTTACCCATCAATAACAGAAAAATTACTCAACAATGCTATCCATTTCGCTGAACAACATCTAAATATTGAACCTAACCATAAATCATTGATCTATCACGCAAGGAAGTCATTACTATATAATGATGATCAAGTTTGGATTAAAAAATCAGGCGGTTTATTCGATGTTTCAATGGGAGCATTTGACGGAGCTGAAGTTTGTGAACTCGTGGGAATTTATCTATTGTCTCAAGTTGCACAGGTTTATAATAAAAATGATTTCGGACTATACCGCGATGACGGCTTAGCAGTTTTTAAAAACATGAGTGGCCCCCAAATGGAAAAAATTAAAAAACATCTTGTTGAAATATTTAAAAAAAACGAACTCAATATATCAATACAATGCAACATGAAAATTGTAAATTACCTCGACGTCACATTAAATCTAAATGACCATACTTTCCAACCATATTCTAAGCCCGGAAATTCTTTAAATTATATTCACACTGATTCAAACCACCCGCCAAATATTTTAAAACAGCTTCCGCATTCAATTGAGTTAAGATTGTCTGCAAATTCCTCAAGTGAAGAAATTTTCCAAAGATCTACCCCTGCATACAATGACGCACTGTTAAAGTCCGGTTTTAATCATAAACTTTCATACCACCCTAATTTAAATTCACCTTATACAAAAAACCGTAAACGCAACATCATTTGGTTTAACCCACCTTTCAGCAAAAATGTAAGCACTAACATAGGAAAAAGCTTCTTAACTTTAGTCAACAAACACTTTCCAATAAACCACAAGTTCCACAAAATCTTCAACAGAAACACCATAAAAGTAAGTTATAGCTGTATGCCGAACATGAAATCTATCCTAAATGCACACAATCGACAAATTATGAACAACAAAAAAGATCTACCTAAAACCAATTGCAACTGCCTTAATAAAAGCACCTGCCCTCTATCAAACCAATGCTTAACAAAAAACATTGTATACCAAGCTAAAATAAGTTCAACTAATCCTACTACCAATCCTGTCATCAAACTATACATCGGTATAAGCGAAACACCATTCAAAATTAGATATGCCAACCATGTAAAATCTTTTACCATTCAAAAATACAAAAATGACACTGAACTATCAAAAGAATTTTGGAAACTGAAAGATGCAAATTTAAATCCAGTTATTAAATGGAAAATAATTAGGCAGTGCAATGCTTACAACCCAACCATGAAGTCTTGCAAACTGTGTATAAATGAAAAATATCAAATTCTGTTTTCCAAAAATAAAAATCTAATTAACAAAAAAAGTGAAATGATATCCAAATGCAGGCATCGAAACAAGTTTCTTCTCGCCCACTTCGACACGGCTGATTAAACAATTTTCTAATTAAAAATTTTGTTTTGACGTCAGAACTCATTCTATTGCTTTGTTATTGTTTTTTCTGTTAATTTTTGTATTTTGTATTTTTTAACGGTTTTTCTTGTTTTAAAAGAATAAAATATGGCTGATGATTGCCGAAGGGCATGAAACTTCAAGTACCATCAAAAAGTTGTATTTTTTCAAATAATCAAACTCTATTATTATTATATATATATATATATATATATATATATATGTATATATATATTTTCATATATATATATATATATATATATATATATATATATATATATATATATATATATATATATATATATATATGTATATATATATATATATATATATATATATATATATATATATATATATTTATATATATATATATATATATATATATATATATATATATATATATATATATATATATATATATATAATATATACGTGTGTCATTTGCCATATAGAAGCGAGTTACTAACCTTACCAAAAGCTTTAGCGAAATCCTAAAGAATCGTGATTTTTAGACTAAATTCAAGCCCGCCCAAGATGATGTCAAAGAATTCGAATATTCGCCATGCATATATAATTACACCAACTTGTACATTAGATAACTTTCATTCTACCTTTAACCTAGATAACTTTCTTTTAGATAACTTTAATAATTAGATAACTTTCATTCTACTGTTACCTTTCATTTTACTGTTACTGCTATATAAATATATGTTGTTTATTCTAATTTATAAGGCAAAATAAAATTTAATTTTAATTTTGTTTTTACTTTTTTATTTTGTTATGTTTGATTTTTATTACTTGAAATTTGCTTTAATAAATAAATTTATGGTTTTTCCCTCATAAATAAAAAATATTCAATGTTCATTTTAGTCTCTCATTTTTAATTCTATATTTTTGACATTTCCATTTATTTTATTTTATATAGTGTACAAAAATTATTATTCTTTATATTAACAGAGTATAAAAGTTAAGATTATTTTGTATTTTTTGGTCACACCTCAATCATTGAAACAAATTTAACAGAAAAAAACAGATAAATTTTTACTTAACAGTGAAAAAAGTTAGAGCATTTATCAACAAAATTTATGAATACATTAGCTTTACATTTGAGTTGATTTGTTAAACAAAATATTATCGGAGCAGGTAAGTGCAGAATAAATGCAACCATTTACTTCCATTAGTATAAATTTCAATTTAGAAAAAGTTCAAATACAAAAATATATCTAATATTATAAGGGAATTTAAAATATCTTGGAAACATTAACAATATTGCAGAGCACAATTTTCATAGTTGACTGGCATATTAGCATGCATGTTGTTGAATGTACACATACATTTAATAACACATACTAATGCTTTAGTTGTGCGAGAATATCAGAAACAATTTCTTTTTTGGATTTTTTAGGTGCAGACCACTCCACACTTTCTCCTTCGTGGATTGATAAAGTATTTTTGCTGTACTTAGAATTAGATATTGACAGTTCGTTTAAGTTGCATTGACCTATGAGAGAAGCATTACACTATAAATGAATCATTTTGATTTTTTGCAAAAAACAACACGAAAAAGTGTAAAAATGTTACGGTGTTAGAGATCGTCCATAGTTTGCACAACGCTAAATTAATTTAAAAAAATATAAGTAGAAGATAATTTGAATTTAGCATTGCGTAATTTATGGACGATCACTTATACGCGTATGTTTATACAAAAATATTTTAATATGTTACCGGAAGTAACTGTAAAACGATAAAGAATCTCATTGCTTCCCAAAGAGTCTTGTTCTTTGGCTTCAATATTTCCCATGCAAAGAGGGGTATAAAAAGGTAACCAGTATGGAGGATCGTATTTTGGTTCGAATGTCAGAGAGCCAGAAATAGCGTTGTATTGCTGCCCAGATAAAGCCAACGGAAGATGCCACAAAACTAAATGAAAAGTATAATGACTAGTAGCCCATGGAAGACCATCGAGACCATAATGCTGAGATGAAGTTAAACCATGAAAATTCCATTGGTCACGAAGTGTGGTTCGATAGTTATCTAATGATTTGATAACTTGTTCTAATGCTAAATGTGGCTCCATTCCTAAATATACAATACTAGTTGTATAATACAATATAAATAACCACCGAAATTGCACATAACTTAAAGATATTTAATTATATCAAACAGCAAAAGTAACAAGTTTCACAAATTTTTTATAATATGATTTTTTATAATAACACGCAAAGAATGTAAAACGAAGCTTTAAAATTTAACTAATTACAACACATTAGTTTTACACAACCGCTCTTATAATATGGAAGATGTTACCTAGATAAAGTTGAAGTACTGTCCAATCAGAACTTGACGACATCCAAACAGATTCGGTTTTTGTAATATTTTCTAGCGACTTACAGCTATTTAATTCGTCACCTAATATTACAGACGTATCTTCTGTTGGTACGGAAGATTCAGATTTCGAAAGAACCTGATTCAAAATAATATAAACTAAAGATATTTAATCTACTTATGTAAATAAAAATTTCTAAAAAAGACTGGTGCAGCAAAGTTCTTAAGTTTGACCGCAGATTTCAATTACGCAGTATATATATATATATATATATATATATATATATATATATATATATATATATATATATATATATATATATATACATATATATATATATATATATATATATATATATATATATATATATATATATATATATATATATATATATATATATATTAAAACTCTATTGAAATATAAACGACTTAATTAAAATCTGTGGGTTGTGTGTATTAAAACCTTTTACTTTTTTATACTGTTTTTCAGAAAAAGTAAAGGAAATATTTAAAAAAAAAGTTTATTAGAAACTGCACATGCTCTAACCCACCAATCAAATCAAAGTCATACAAATGTTTGTAATGAAATCAAAATCACTTAAATAAAAATCAAATATTGTTTGTAATATTCCAAAATAAAAAATTTAATAATTTCTTATTTATAAAGAGTAAAAATTGATTTTAATTATTTAAGTAAGCTTTAGTTGTTTTTTTTTAGTTTAGTATATAGCTTTAGTTCGTTTTTTTTTTATCCTAATATATATAAAATGAAAAAATATATCTAAAAATAATTAACAAATGTTAAAAAAGGTACATAGAGAATTAAGGTATAGTCAAATTAAATGAGAAAAAATTTTATTCAGTTGATTTGTTTGTTTACGAATATGCTTTTATTTTTATTTGAAATTATAAAACGAAGATAAAATAGAGGAATTTACACAGTAAATTAAAAATGTTACTATAGTTACTGGTATGATTAGTAAGATATATAGAAAACAGTTTTTACCAAGTTATTATACCTTTAGTCCGAAAGGTGTATCATTTCTTTCTTCTTCAGTTTTTAAATGTTTTTTCATTTTGTCTTTATCTAATAGATCACCTAAACCCAAAGTATATGCCCAAACCTGCCCATATAACACATCACTCATCAACCATGTTGGTGATCCCCATTCATCGTCAAACCATGCATGATAAAATCCTTTCTTTTCATTCCACATTTCCACCTTTAAAAAAAAATTAAAAAGTCATCTTGGAAACAATGTTACTCAAAGTTAGCTTGGTTAAATTAAATACTTTGAATTTACCCTCAAATAAAAATTTGGATTCAATAATGGATCCCAACTTTTAAATATAACATGTTTCACATTTTAAGGATATTTTATATTGCAACAAAAAAAAAAGGTAAAAATGTAATAGTTTAGAATTAAAAATAAATACAAGGTAAAAATGTAATAGTTTAGAATTAAAAATAAATAAAAGCAGGAAAAAAAATTTTTTCCTGCTTTTATTTATTTTTAATTCTAAACTATTACATTTTTACCTTGTAAATATATTTACGATGGGCGATTAATAAATTAAGTATAATAATCTGTCAGAGTTAGTTCTTCTTCTTTATAGCTTATAATGCTTTAAAGGATCTAAGTTTTAATTTTGCAGTGAATAATAAAGGTCTTATTTGGTATGATTTTTTGTATTCATAATTTTTAAATTTCATTTTTTTAGGTTTTTCTTTTAAAGAATTAATGTTTTTATAAAAAAATATTAATTTCTTCCAATAAATATTTTATTACTTGACAATTGTTTTTTTTAAATTCCAGGTTAAAAATAAAAAATTCGAAGAAAAACTACTACCTGAACGAAATAAAAAAATGCAACTGGTGATATTAAAAAAACATGGAACACAAAACCTAATTCTAACCCTTATGTGCGGTAGTGGTGTAGTGGTAGAGCGCTCGCCCCATAAGCAAGAAGTTCCGAGTTCAATCCCCACCATATCCCGGGTAGTACTACGCTCAACTTGTTTCTCTGCGCAGCGGCCTTGCTTGTCAAGCTTTGTGCTTCGGAGTTATAGAGTAGAGAAAGGGTTGTAACCACAAATAAAGTAACCTCCTTCGATATAGTAGCATTCTTGTCCTTGGGGAGGTGAATTAAAAAAAAAAATATTATCTAATATGCAATATGGAAATAATTATCTATAAAAACATAACAAAGTCAACATATTTTTTATAAAATATTTACAGAAAGATTATAAAATGCTAAACAGTTAAAAAAACAACTTATAAAATTTTATGGATAAAATAAATCTTTTATTAATAATGGCCTACAATCTGTTTTTTTTTTTCAATCATGGAATGCGGAAGTTAGCACAAGTAATTTAAATACAGTGTAAAAATAATGTAATAAAAATCTCTTCTGATCATATCCCCCACTTTAATAGATAGACTTCAGTTTACCAAACATTTTTATATATCAAACTCAAGTGGGAACAGTCTAATTATTGGTCTTATAAATTATTTATTACTTAATTTTTTTGTGTCAAATTGTTGATAAATAACAGCACCATATGCTTTTCAAGATGTATTGGTAAAAATATTGATCATTTTATTACTTAATCTGAAATTATTACTTAAACTTCATTGCAGCCAGAAAATACTTTATTGCAGCCAGAAAGTGTTTTTAAATACTACTAGATGTCATCTTAAAAATACATCATTACTTTATTTCTACCTCTCCCCGTTGTCATGGAAATAGGGGTGGGACTTATATGTCTCAACAGTACTTTTACGGTTTAAAGTAACCAAATTTAAAATTTGGAGTTTTGTAAACAAAAAAACTGTTATGTAATAAAATTGATTTCAAATTTTGATGAGATAAGCAACTATGAATGAGGTAACTGAGGAATGCACAACTATGAATGAGGTAACTGAGGAATGCATCTATTAATATGCTTTATCTACCTTTTACTCTCCAGCCCTCTTTCCTACCTCTACTAATCAAAATTATATGTATTTTTTCATTTATATACTTGTTAATGTCTTCCTTATTAACATATATTAAATTTTTTTTTTAATTTTATATGTGGAACCTTATAATTAAATGTAGTTAAGTTTAAAAAATTTTGAAATGAAAAGCAATGAATGTAAAGACATGCACTTATATAAAGACATGCACTTATTTTTTATATTACAAAGCAACTAAACAACATCAAAATAAAATTAAAAAAAAAAAGTATAAAGAAATGATATTAAAATTTGTGATATTCTAAAAAACAATTTTTTCCTTTTTGAATGGAGAGGAATACTTTGCAGGTTTCACAATAGCTATAGATTCTTGATTCCTGCTATTTTTCAGAACAAACTTCACACCTTGCCCTTTTATCTCCAATGAACACCTCTACTTACTAATCGTAGTCTGGAACAAAATTTGGAATTTATTCTTTTTTTAGAAGGTTCAGGTAAACTTAGTCAATTAACGTTAGGGTTAGGGTTAACCCTAGCCCTAACCCTGAGCCTAACTTTAACCCTGACAAGAATTAAAAGTCCAAATGTAACATTGCAACAAAACAAGCTAGTAAATTTTAAATATTTTTACTTTATGCATAATAACTTATGTATTTATGCATTAATTATGCAGTAATTTATGCATTAGTTATTGTTCTATCTATACGCCCAAAAAAAAATCTATGCCACCACTTGATATTTTTTCAATCTATGCTATAAATGGAACAACATCTTAACTTCAACGTTTCTTTACTTGATATATACTAAATTTTGAGATGTAACCATCTATATCAGCGCAAGCTCATATTTTATAACCTATTTTGTTAGGTTTCATAAGGTTATACTGCTTTAAAGAGTTTTTCACTTTAAATAGGAAGTGCTCTCACCAATACTCATATACTCATTTGGGTTCCAAATGAGTATATGAGTATTGTACCAAAAATTTACCAAAAATTTTCATTTAGTTTGTCAATAAAAGGCCTGATTTTATATAGTTTATCTGTGTTGTTGAATTATTGTCGTTTAAATGAATGTTTCTTAATATTTATGAAAATCTACTTCTTGAAAAAGAATTTGAAACGAGTGAAATATTTAGGTCTTGAGAATTATTCAAATAGCACGACAAAGATGGTAAACTATGGTAACCCATTGAAATATTAATTCCAAAGAATTAAATAACTCATTCATTGAAATTGAAGGTACTTTTTTGTGTTTTTGGTGGATATACAAATTGGTTTTAAATAAAATTTTGTCTTTTATATCAAAGAACTTTAAAAAATAGCCTTTCTCATCATGGCAATCAATAAAAAAATCACTGACAGTTTCTTCAGGTAAACAAAATGCTGATTTAAGTTCTATTTCATCTTTTTTCATCAACAATCGTTTCATTGATATTGAATTCTTGGCTATGAGCTGTATTACTTTTAGTATTTAAAATTTTAATTGTTCAAGCTCTAACACTCATACATACAAAATCTTCCTCTACAGGTAATTTATCAACTTTAAATCTTCCTCTATAGGTAATTTATCAACTTTAAATCTTCCTCTATAGGCAATTTATCAACTTTTAAGTCAAAAATATCTTATCTTAAAAATATCATCTCTTCCTTCAATATCTGTATCAGTTGAATTATCTAAAGGTATATCTTCTTTGAATTATCTATTTGAATTATCTAAAGGTAAAATCTTCTTGCATTATCAATGCAGTTATGCTGCCACTTCTTCAACAACTTTTTTTTAAAACATTTTTATTAATTACTAGTTTCTAAAAACAATAAAGTTTTCTCAAAATTTGAAGAGTAAAATAAAACAAATCTTTGAAATCAGAAATTTATGATAAAAAAAAAAATTACTAAAAAAACACTTAAATCCCAGCTATATTTTATTAATTATCTGTAGTTTAAGTGATATATAGCTAAAAAATACAACATTAAAATGATTTAGTCCAAAAATCATAATAAATGAATATAAACTCCTATGACTTTTAACAAGGCTGTAAATATTGATTACAAACCACAACGTTTCACCAACATTTAAACACATCAATACCAAAATCTAAAATTCTTTAATATAAAAGAAAATAAGTTCATTAGATATATCTGTTTTTTTTACATTGGTTGTAAAAATAATAGACAAGATTGACTGCAAATATTTTAATGACCAACAGATGGAACTATAACTTATAAATTAAAGTTTATCTGTCGGGATTCGATGTCCCATCGGTATTGAAAGGGTTAAACACATATACAGGATGAGTCATTGAAGTATCTACCAAAAAGATAGGGTTTGTTTTCCAGCTACATTACCTTGTCAGGTTGACATTTCATTGTTTTTTAAATGAAAGAAAATAAATAATTTTTTTAGAAAAATTCTTTACATATGTTCTTTAAGCTTGAAAAAAACTGAAAAAGCAAACACTTTGATAAAAATTATTCCGTTTATTTCTAAATTAAATAAATTTACAAAAATAAAATATAAATACAATAAAAAAAAAAAAAAAAATTAAATTATATTGAAAAAAAAAAAAAAAATTATAAATAAAAAAGCTAAACCTCTAATTGTTTTGTTGCTCTGGCTAAAGCTGCATTTACATTTTTAATGGTATTATTGTCTTTTTGCATACTTGCCATTGATTTCATTGCATGTAATGCCAATAAATAAGAAATACTATTATAAGCACAATGGTCATACTTTTCTAAGTCAAATAAATCATAAGTATCAGGTTTTCGATATGGTAAACCAGTTCCTTTATGGAGAAAAAAAAAAAAAGAAATAAAAGGTAACAATAGTTGTAAATTTTCAATTTTGTTATACATTTAATATAAACAATTCCTAAAAATATTTATGAAAAATCAGTACAATAAAACAAATTATTTCATAAAATATAATATTCCCTATATATATATATATATATATATATATATATATATATATATATATATATATATATATATATATATATATATATATATATATATATATATATATATATATACATAAATAGTATTGCGTATTATTGTAAGCAATCTGCCGTCATACTGAAATAGCCTGCTGCTGGGGGCTTCAGTACATACATCGACTGACAAATAGCCTGACTCGCAGTGGAGTGCTTCTACATCGACTGAGGGTTTGGGATGGGGAAGCAATTGTTTTATTCATCATTCTTCGTTTTTTCTTCTTCTTTTTCAAAAAAAAAACGGTATAGCTTAAGGTAAGCAGAAAAAGTGAGCAAATGCTTATCAAAAAACGATTTATTAGGTGTGTATATATATATATATATATATATATATATATATATATATATATATATATATATATATATATATATATATATATATATGTATATATATATATATATATGTATATATATATATATATATATATATATATATATATATATATATATATATATATATATATATATATATATATATGATGGATAATATATTAAGAGAACTTAAATCTTTTTAAAAACAGCATCAATAAAAATTTTGGTTTCTGAACTTTTTTGTAATTGGCTGTTGTAGTCTTAATTAAGACCTAATTAAGACTCAACACACACACACACACACATATATATATATATATATATATATATACATATATATATATATATATATATATATATATATATATATATATATATATATATATATATATATATATATATATATATATATATATATATATGTATATATAAAATATAAACCAAAATTTTTATCGATGCTGTTTTTAAAAAGATTTAAGTTATCTTTATCTATTATCTATTGAGGATGAGAATTCCAATCATTTGTAACTCTGTTTGTGAAGAAATTGTGACAAATTCTCAAACTGGTAAACTGTCTGCGTATTCTACAATTGTTTCTTCTACTTGATTGTTCCAACTTGAAATTTAACAGAGGGTGGTGAAAATTAACCATATATTTCCCTTTTGATTTTATATATTTAAATCACCTTTTCTTCTTCTATCATGCAAAGTTGGCAATTCAAGTATCTTTAATCTTTTTTCTACGATTTCCCTCTTAAAGATTCAATTCTAGTAGCTCTTTGTTGCAGAATTTCAGGATTATAAATGTCCTTCTTCCAAAATGGACTCCAAACTGTTGTTCCATATTCTGAATGAGGACATACTATTGGTTTGTATAGTAACTTTAATGAAAATTCATCAAAATACTCAAAAGAGTTTTTGATCAAATTTTCTATTTGCTTTATCTATAGCTGAATTAATTATTTCAACTCTAGATTATTTGAAATGAAAATCCCAAGATCTTTTTCTATTATTGTTTCTGTTAAAACAGAGTTGTTCAATTTATACTCATATCTAGGATTTTAAAATTTCAAGCTAAAATTTGAAAAGAAAATTGCAAAAAAGCGAAATAGAAATAAAAATATAATTTAGTTTAACCCATCGCACAGCAACTATGTTTCAACAAATATTTGAAAAATGTTTTTAGAATTAAAAGACAAACATTTCCCTCCCTCTTATAAACTGCAAAAAAATTTTCAGAGGAATACTATTAAACTTAGCTATAGCTGCACAGTTAACAAGTAAGTTGTACAAAAAATAGAGATAGATTTATAAAAAACGACAATTTTGCATTGGTTAATAAAAATGGATTTCTTAAAAAATACTAAAAATTGTAAATGGAAACTAAAAATTGATTTCCCTATGATAAAAATGCTTATCAAATAACATTATTTACAAATACATTGTATCATCACAAAATAACCCTGATAAAAAATATATCAGTTTAACCAAGGGCCACTAAAAAAATGCTATGCCATCCACAAAAAATCTTTTAAACATAAAAAGTACTCAAAAGAGACTATGCTGTCAAAATGTATTTATCAATTTAAAGTTAAAACATTTTTTTTAAATTAAACTATTTATATATTTATTATTATTTAAATATATACTATTTATATATTAGTCTATTATAAAAACTGTAACAACATGTAATTTCCTGGTTGCAAAATAACTTTATTATAATATTATTTATATAATAAATACATTTATTGTATAAATAGTTATAACAATTCCAATTTCCTGTGAAATATTTTTTCTATAATTTGAATATTAATAATATTATAATAATCAAATAAGTGTTTTCACTATATATATATATATATATATATATATATATATATATATATATATATATATATATATATATATATATATATATATATATATATATATATATATATATAAGGATAAGTAAACGTTATGTTTATAAAATACCTTTTGTAGCATCTTGCATCAACCAGTTCATTGCTCGAACTGTAAATGGATATATCTCATCAAAAAAAACTGTATCATTTGACCACTTGTACATTAAGAGTGCTTGCACAATAAAGCCAACATTTACATCAGACATCATTCGACCACCAGCCACTCCTTTAGATATAATATGTATGAATGAGAAAGTGAAATAAAATAAAAAAGAATTTAATATTTGCTTTTACTGACCTTCTTTAGATGTTTCCTCTAAACATCCCATTGATAAAGACTCTTGAATCATTCCATTGGACAACTGGTGGTCGGCCCATGCCAACATAACTTCTTTTGCAAGAGCTAAGATATGATAAGGTATAAGATATTTTTTTGAAAACTTTTAATTTTATGATAGATACTATACAAATCTCTTTCAAGACAAAAAAAAACTTATCTGCTTTCTGTAACTATTTTTATCAATTGTCTTTTTAATTGGGGGAAAAGTAAAAAAAAAGTGTTGTAACCATCAAAAGAAATAAACATATTTTAACTTTACTATGCAGCACACATATTTCATATTGATTTGATATTAAATAACTTACAGAATAAAATTATATAATTTTACAAAATATTCTTAAAAAGTTATCAAAGTAAAAAAAAAAGATTAAAACAAAACCACATGCTTAAAATTATCAATCACGTTTTTAATCACCTCTAGCAGTATAGCTTTACATTACTTTTAGTATTATTACATTAGTTTATGTTTCAGCGAAGCATTAGTTCATGTTTTAGTTAAAAATTAGTTTATGCTTCAGTCAAACACTGATTCATGAAAAAAAAAGGCTGATAAAAAACTAAAATCCATTATTAACTCTAATGAAAATGAAAGAATTAGTATCATTGAAATACATCAAATGACAAATTTAAAACTGCATTGCATTTGTGCAGTTTTAATGTTGTAAATTCAAGTAATTGTGTAGATTATGTAATGTAAATATAGTAAGATATTAGATAAGAAAATGCGCTGCATGAATTTCATGAAATAAATTAGTCTAAAAAAAATTTAACTTTTTTATTGAACGCCATTAAAAAAAATCAATCAATAAAAACATCATGCTTAAAAAAATTAAGCAATAAAAAAAAGTAGATAACAACATCAATTTTACTTTTACAGAAGTAAAGTATAAATGGCGATGATGCTTATCTAAGGAGATAATGATGCTTATCTGACGGAATAATGATGCTTATCTGACGGAATAATGATGCTTATCTGATGGAATAATGATGCTTATCTGACGAGATAATGATGCTTATCTGATGGAATAATGATGCTTATCTGACAGAATAAACAAGTTATTGTTGCTTCAAACAGAAGCTAAAATTGTATTCAAAAAGCTAAAAAACTTTAAAAATTTGAAAAAAGTATAAATAAAATCGAAACTATCAAAAAAAAAAAAAAACTTATCTGAATAGAAAATTTTTTTTAAAAAAAAGCTTACCTGGATAGAAAATAAGATAAGGTAATATGCGATGAAAATCTACATGAACAGGATCCATATTTGCACAATCATAAGCTTCCCATTGTCGCCACCTTCCATTTTCCATCCACATTCCTGATCTTAAAGTGCTCAAGCTGTTAATAAGAATATCTTGCAAACATTCAGGAAACACATTAACTCCATTCATTGTACCATTGCACAAAGTAGGTTTAGCTTTTATTTTCTAAATTAAAATTGTTAGAGATTATGAAGATTGCATCTTTGAGAAAATATACAATAAAATACTTTACAATAATGTCTAATTGCTTATGTTTGTATTTGTCTAATTGTTATTATTTAATGTATTGTTATTATTTAATGTTTATTGCTTGTAATTAAACAAATAAGAAGTTTCGATCCATGAAATATAGAATAGTTATTTAATTGAATTTTGTGAAATTTTAATTATATAACTTTTTATGAACAAAAATAAATTAGACAATTTGTTTAATTAATCTTTTAATTTTTTTTTCAGATATGGCAGCCTGAAAGAAAACCATTAGGAGTTTACAATGTTTTGAAGTTCCCGAAATCTACTGTAGCTGTAATAGTAAATGCTGTAATGCTTGATCTCTCAGATCTGTTTAATGATGCAACAATCACAACTCTAAAACTGTAGTTTCAGAGAAACCAAAAATAAAAAAGAAGTTGAAAAAAGAAGTTGGTTGAAGTATTATCAAATATTGAGAATAGCAAAGAATTTGTTTTCTTAGCTGTTGACAGTAAGAAAAACAATAATTGTAAATGAAATAAAAACAGAACTGCAGTTGTATTAAAGAAAATCACTGAGAAAGAGCATTGTATGAATGTGGCTGAAAGTTTACGCATCCTTTCTTTTAATGATGCGTAAAAATATCAATCAGAGCCGGTCTTTAGTCAAGATTATTGAATTTTATGCAATAGCCACTCCAATATCCGCATGGGTACAGGCGCTCTTGTTTATTGATTTTAAATTGTCGGAGTAATTTTCAAACAAGATTTATGTCAAATAAAATTAGAGTGCAGTTAAACGCCTTACTTATTTATTGCTAAAAGTGTATTTGTTTGGGAAAGCATTATTAACTTCTAAAAGTGTATTTGTTCGGGGAAAGCATGTCAATTTATGTTTGTAAGCCTACTTTATTGAGGTGATAAAAGATCCTTTTTTATATAAGCGTAGACAATTCGGAGCCAAGTTTAGTTCTGACACCAGTAAATAGATTTTGTTACGGTTGATAAACCTATAGAAAACAACGCTGGCATTAAATCGTTCTTGATCTTGTAAACAAATTGTTGTTTGGTTGTTTCATTAAATTGTTTTTTGATATATTCCAATTAAAAAAAAAATAAAAAGTTTATATACTTACTTATTTTCTTTTACTTTTTAAATTTTAAATTTTATTGCAGACTAGACTTTAAAACTGTTTTTTAAAATTTTTCTTACTTAAAAAATTAAAATAAAAGTAGTATTTAAAAAAAAAAAATTGTATATATTTTTTCTTAAACCATATAATATCTTTTGTTGTTGTTTTAATTTGAACACCTATACATATTTTATCATCAAAAACCTTTCAAAAAATTGCGGAACCATCAAAAACCTATTAAAAACTTAAAATTTTGATTGAAATTGTAGTTTATTACGCAAAACTAAAAAAAGAAGTAATATTAAAATCAAAAGTAATGCCAAAACATGTTTTTTAGACAAGCAAGCATTTTTTTACCGTAATTCTTACATTTGATAGTTGTCTTGACAAGTTTCAACTACTCAATGTGTATTCTTACATTGGAATATATATATATATATATATATATATATATATATATATATATATATATATATATATATATATATATATATATATATATATTTACAGTAAAAAGTATTTGCGCAAGCTAATTAAAGTATTAAGGTTTATACTATTAATGTTAAACAAAACAATATGTATACATAATACTATACTATAAAAGTTTATTATATAACTTTATAACTTTAATGCACATTTGTAACATGATACTAAGCTAAAATAGATAAAAAATTTTCTGACTTATTATATTAAATTACTTTAGGAGAGGTAAATCTTAATTACAAAGTTTTACCTCTTGTTAAAGAAACAGTGAATAATCAAGTGCGCGTATAAAGTTATACAAGGGTAACACTCTAAAAGCAATTCTAGCAGAATAATACCTTAACAAACCGAGTTTATAAGGTAGGAATAGTTAGAGAAAAAACATGGAAAATAACTTGCAGTGTTAGAGAAAAAACATGGAAAATAACTTTACATATAGGCTTTTTATCAGAATGCGCTTCTTTTTAGAATTTTTTTTAACACTATTGAAATGATGACACTATTGATAAAACAACTAATTCACGAAATTATTTTTCAAAATAAAATTAAAATAATTGATATATATATATATATATATATATATATATATATATATATATATATATATATATATATATATATATATATATATATATATATATATATATATATATATATATATATATGTATTATTTAGTATCAAATTATTGAAACTTTACAATAAAATATTTTTTTTGATGATTTAAGTAGTGACCAGAGACTTATGAATACTGCATGGAAAACTAAATACTGCCACAGGAAATACGAGTGTTTATTAATCAAGTTGGAAAATTACCCCTCTTAATCATTCTGGTTAATTAATATTGGCAATAAGATTAGTATTTTTTTATGTGCAAGTACTAGTTAAAGAATATAAGTTAATTATTTGGATAGTTTTGAAAATCATAAAACCTATATTATCAAATGTTATGCTCCTACATGGTTCCTTCATAAAAAGACCAATGATTTGCATAAAGTTCTACCTATCATACATTTTATAAACCAAATCAAGATCAAAGAAAATATTTTTCAAGAGCTTTGCTTAACAAATAAATAATTCATTCAGATTGTACCTTATTCCTGAAAATATTTTGTACTCAATCTTAAAGTCAAAGGGAATAGATGTAAGATTAATAACAAGTGGAGATTACTTGAGATTAGAAATCATAAAAAAGATAGATAAACTATAAACAGATTCAATAAGATTACTTGAGATTAGAAATCATAAAAAAGATGGATAAACTATAAACAGAATGAATAAGATTACAAAAACTAAAATTGATGCTTTTAAATGGTATGAGCTCATAAATATTTTCGATATAGACAGACAAACCAGTATCAACTCAAATTGGCTTTTTACTGTTTTATAAAATCTTTTTCTTGGAGCCTGATTTGGTTTATATATTTTACAAATAGAGAATGTTGTAGAAAAGTTATTGTCTGGATAAAAATTGACTTCATAGATCTAAATTCTTGTTGACAGAGTGTTAAGCAAACTGTACAATTTCAAAGCTTCACATATTGTCTTTAGAAAGAAAGCAGACTATAAACATATCGTTGTTAAAATTCGAAGCCAAAAGCATTGAAAGAAATGTTGAAATATTATTTTAGCGAGACATAATGTCTTTGTTTATTAACTTGAAACTAATTTAATGCTATTTGTACAATCATAAGATTTTATTTATTAATTCTAAGATTTTAGAAGTAATTTGACTTTTTTATTTATTTCTAAGATTTTTTTTAACAAATTCTCATCCAACAAAATTGCAAGCAACCTGCAAGTCAAGAAAGAAAATTAAAGAACTAGAATGCAGTTGACAGAAGACTTTAAAAAAATGCAAATTGTATGAATCAGGAAAACATGAAGATAAGAGAGAATTATAAACAAATTTTTTTAAATTTCTTAAAAACATTTAATTTACTAACTTACATATTTAGCTATTACATGGTCAATCACTCTCAGTTAAAATAAATGAAAAAAAATTTAGTACAAAATTTCTCCTATAATTATAAATTTGTCCTATATTTATAGACTTTCAGCCAGTAGCGTAGCGAAGGGCCCGCAGAGCCCGCAGCCGCGGGGAGGCCCAGAGTTATTAGGGGCCCAAGGTAATAAAGAAAAAATTAAAAAAAAAGTGTCAGTACAATAAATAACATGCATATCATTTAACATACATACAAAACATATATTTTACACTTTGTACATTATTATCTTGACAAGTTATTAATAATCTTGACAAGTTCTTTGAATAGTGAGCAACTTTTTATTAAATTATATCTACGAATATAAAAATAAACTACTATTATTTATAAAATAAAATACAATTTTCAAAGTCAAATTATGAAGTCGTTACAATTTAACGCAAAATACGTTAATTAAGCTACTTAAATAATTAAGCGATTTAAAAAAAAACAATAATTTACTCGCTTTTTAAAAATTGCAATAGTTTCCTAAGTGAAGACCTTTTTTTTTAAACAAAAACAAAAACAAAAAACTTAATTACGTAAATTAAAGTAAAACGAAATAAGAGAATAAAAAAAAAAAAAAAAAAATGTTTCATAAAAAAGAAAATAATATTACAAAAAACAGCAATAAAACAGTAAGAAAGTATAAAATAAGATATAAAACATGAAATAATTAATCATTCAAGCCGTTAAATTACGTGAGGCAACCTCAACCAGCTTTAATCAGCGCTACGAAAGTTTTTAAAATAGTTTTTAAAATAGCTTTAAATTAATAACTTGATAAATAGTAAACTGTTTGTCTTGTATTTGAATTTAGTCGCTGTTTTTTATTTGTGTTTTGTAATTTAGGTGTTTTGATTTTATTATTATTTTAATGTTTATTTATTTACAAAAAAAACCTAATTATTTTGTTTATTAAAAGACAACTGTGAAAATGAATAACAAGAAAAAAGAAGAGGAAAAAAGTTTAACAAGTGGTTTCAGAAAGAGAAAAAATAAAGAAATAGCTAATGAAAGTTTTGCAAAACAGCTGCTAAAAATACCAAGACTGACATCTTTTTTTGCTTCAACTTCAAACACAGTACAATTGGAAAATATTAATAGAATGCTAGATGAAAGTGCCAATACGACCGAAAAGTATTCTGAAATAGAAATATCAAATATGTCAAATATAGCTAAAGTACCGCTAAAAAAAGCAGAAGTTAAAAACATATGTGATTTATATGAAATTATTTGTGAGCAATACCCTTCTGATTTTGCAAATTTTAAAGATGTTATAACGGTAGAAGAAAAACAATTCATTTTATCTGTCGGTCCTTGTCGTCCTGAAGGACCTTTTCCTAAAGATGATAGAAATCATTCTTTCTCAATAAATTACTATAAAAAAGTTACAAAATCAGGAATATCTATTGAAAATACTTGGTTATGCTACTCACCAAACAAAAACTTAGTTTACTGTCAACCTTGTTGGTTATTTTCAAGCGAGAAAAAAAATATTGGTTGGATACAAGGTATAAATGACTGGCAAGGACTTTCAAAAAAAATAAAGAAACATGAAAATTCTGAGGTTCACATAAATACTTGTTTTATTTTGAAACAATAGAAGGAGGAAAAAACAATAGATACTATGTTACTCGATAATATTCAAAAGGAACAAACATTTTGGGCAAAAGTTTTAGAAAGACTTACTAAAATAACATTAAAATTAGCTAAAAATTGTAGTTCTTTTCGAGGGCAAAACGGTTCACTTGAAGATATTTATAATGGTAATTTTTTATCAGATGTTTAACTATTAGCGGAATATGATATTGTTTTGAAAGAAGTGATATCTTTGCCTCGTGGTCATGTTAATTACTTATTGCCTCAAATTCAAAATGAAATTATTTGTCTTTTGTCAAAAAATTTAGAAAGAAAAATTTTCAATGATATCAATTTAGCTCCTTTTTTTTCAATGATTGTCGATACTACTCAAGATTTATCAAAAACAGACCAACTTAATATTTCCTTTCGATTTGTTAAAATTTGTTATAACATAAATGGATCTCCTCTCCTTATAAAAATTGAAGAAAAATTTATAGGGTTTTTTAAAATTAACAATCAATCGGCAAGTGCTATATCAAATCAAATTATCAATATACTAAAATCATTTGGTCTTGATTTGAAAAAATGTAGGGGACAAGGTTATGATGGGGCAAGCAACATGAGTGGAATTTACTCTGGAGTACAAAAAAGAATAAAAGAAATTGAAAAAAACGCAATATTTATTCATTGCGCGGCCCACAATTTAAATTTAGTAATAAATGATACTATGAATGGGGTGCCAGATATTAGCAACTGCTTTGCTAGTATACAAGAAATATATACATTTTTTTGGTATAAGCATAAATAGGTGGGACATATTATCAAAAATAACAGGAGAATCAGAAGTAACGTTAAAAAAATTAAATCCTACACGCTGGGCGTCTCGTTTATCATCTTGTATAGCCATAAAACAAAGATATGTAGACGTAATGAAAGCTTTATCTAAAATTATTTTGGAAAGCAATAAAAAAGCAGAAATAGCACAAGCGACCGGTTTAAGAAAGAAAATGGATTGTTTAGATTTTCTTTGCATTTTGGTGTTAATTATTGAAATATTAGCACCATTAAATATCGTTTCAAAATTATTACAATCTAAAAATATGGATTTGGATAAAGTTTGTTCATTATTAGAAACTGGAATAAAAGAAATAAAATCACTGCGCAATAATTTTGATGATATTCTTGCAAAAGCAAAAGCTCTTGCTATAAAGTGGAATATAGTTCCAACTTTTAAACAATCACAAATAAAACGAACAAAAAATCTGTTTGATGACGGTGGTGTAAATTTTCGTTTTGAAACGGCTGAACATCAATTTAAAGTTGATATATTTAACACAGTTATAGATATTGTTACAAATCAGATAGATTCTTGTTTTACTTCCCTGAAAACAGTAAATAGCTATTTTTCATTTTTAAATCCCAAAAATATTATATTATTAGATTCTGACAAAATATTTACACATGCAACAAATTTGCAAAATAAATATCCGATAGATATATCTGATGCCTTTCCAAATCAAATGGCTTTGTTTAAAAAAACTTTGAAAATGGAGCTTAAAGATGTGGACAGTATTTTGGATTTGCTCAAATTAATAACAATAACATATTGTGATATGAGTTGCTCTTTCACTGAAATAATCGGAGCACTTACGCTATATTTGACATTACCCGTTAGCGTGGCAACTGCAGAAAGATCTTTCAGCACGTTAAAAAGAATCAAAACGCATTTAAGGACAACGATGGCACAAAACTGTTTGTCTGCGTTAAGTTTATTAGCTATTGAAGCAGAAGAAGCAGCTAAATTAGATTTAAAAGATGTGATAAACCAATTTGCAGCTATGAAGGCACAAAAAAAACAATTTCGTTAGAACTTCTACATACTATACATACAAAACTTTCTGTCATTAATGATATTATATCATTAGTTTGTGTTTTAGAATACAGTTTTTTATTTTCATGTATAACTTATTTGTCTAGAAGGAAGGTAAAGGCAAGGTGGGGGGGGGGGGGGGGAAGGGAATAGAAAAGAAGTAATTTAGGGGCTCGGATTAAATTTTTGCGGGGAGGGGGGGACAATTTTTTGTCGCTACGCTACTGCTTCCAGCTAGACAATTTTTCTGTTCATAATTTTATGGCAAAAAATTTTCCAACATTATGTTGTTGATGTATGCATCAACAGCATATTGCTGGATAATTTCTTTTAAATAAATTAATTTAATTTTGACATTTGCAGCATATGTCAATTTGAAGGTCAGAAATAAGTAAAACCATAATTGAGTTGTATGATTTACATAATTATGTAAACAACCTTGCAAATAATCAAAATGTTAGATCAAGACATGTTGCAGCCATTTTTGTAGGAAGCTCTAGAGATTTTAAAGTATCATCATTAAGATCAATAAAAGTATATGAATCATCATTAAGATCAATAAAAGTATATGAATCATCATTAAGATCAATAAAAGTATATGAATCATCATTAAGATCAATAAAAGTATATGAATCATCATTAAGATCAATAAAAGTATATGAATCATCATTAAGATCAATAAAAAAAATAATAAACATTTTTAATAATTTTGTTTACAACCCAAAATATTGTGAAACAATTGAACTTATATCTTGGTCAGACTGCAAATGACTAAAATACTTGAAAATATTTAAAAAATATTTAAATGCATATGCAAATTATTTAACTTATACACTTTAATTGTACAACCTCCTTGAAGATATTTTATTTGTACAACCTCCTTGAAGATATTTTAATTGCACAACCTCCTTGAAGATATTTTTTAAGCATAGTGAATTAGAAAAAGTTGTAATCCATGTAATTTTCAAAAGAATGACCACATGTTAATGTTTTACATGTTCATGTTTCACATTTCATATTTTACTTTGCAAATGACCATAAACTTAAAATAATACAGGATAACAATATTTGCAGAAATTTCATATTTAAAAGTAAATCATCAGTGTATCATACAAAACCCTTAATAATAAATGGAGTATGCAGCAAAAAATAGTTGAAAAGTCATAATAGTCAGCTGATAATGCTCATAATCAGCTCATAATGGCTTCATGACAAGCAGTAGAGGTATAAAATCTGTTACAGAAACATTTTTATTATTATTATTTTTTTAAATTAATGATCTTCCTGATAATTTTACATTGATAGTGGTTTTATTTGCTGACTACTTAACTTGATACTCCTGTCTTGACAAAAAGTCTTTACTTTTATTGCAAACATTGTCGAGAGTCTCATACTGATAAATGGCAAACATATCAATGAGTTCTCTACTTTATGATTTTTTGGATAGTAATTCACTACTGACTTCTCATGGAAACATTTTTTTTACTCTCTTTTATTTTTTAACACTACAAATCTCTTATTTGTCTCTGAATGAAATACTGCTGTCATATTTGGACTGGTGCTTCTAATGATGTTATTTCTCTTATAGACAAGATCCAAAAATATACTGCAAATGTAGTTGGATCTGCTTTATCTGCCAAGTTTAAACTACTCTCCCATTATTGTAAGATCATATCTTTTTTTTCCTGCAAGCAATATCATGTCCACTACTTAAATGAGCTTTAGTTCCATCAATTAAAACTCATTTTTGCTTGACTTGTTATTTAGCAAAGTTGCATTCTTTTACTGCATCTGTCTTAACATCCAAGAAAAACTTTTATTCATCTAGTTTCTTATTTCCTATATCAATGCTATAAAACTCTTTCGGCTCTTCATGTTTTCCCGTCTCATTCAGCATACAACTTTTCAAGTCTTCTATTAACTGCTTCCTTGTTCTTTCTGCTTCCTTGCTCTTTCTGCTTCCTTGCTCTTTCTGCTTCCTTGACTTTCTGCTTCCTTGCTCTTTCTGCTTCCTTGCTCTTTCTGCTTCCTTGCTCTTTCTGGAGTGAGTTAGTTTTAAAAAAATAACATAAACTAGCATTGGGACAATCTCTTCGGATTAAATACTAACTTTTTTCTGACAATTTAATAATGTAATTTAATGTGTAATAAATAAAAAACATTATTAAGATAACTTCATGACTGATCTCGTTAATAAATAGCCAAAATAATACTATGAAAATGAGCACAACTAAGTAGACTATACGTTAGAAGTTTATATTGTATTACATTTCAGAAATTAAATAAAAATATTATTATTAAAAATTGCATACACTATTATATACACTCTATTACACTATTATTACAAATTGCATAAACTAACTCTTCTTAAATCTAAATAACCTTGTCTAATTTATATTCAGTAAAACCCATAATATGGGTTGCTTATTACTTTCATAATATGGGTTGCTTACTGCTTTCATAATATTTCATTCATGTAAATAATTAGAAACATTAAATATTCAATTTTTAATATTAATACCTTTCTTATTTTATGTTCCTCTTGTTTTGCGCGTAGTGAGTCTGGAGGCATTATAGCTGCCTGCCACTTAATAACATTTTCTATGGTTTCTTTTAAATCTTTCTCAGTTGCCTTGGCAACTTCTTCACTTGATTTAAATAAATTGTTGTAGAAATTCCCCACACGCTCATCTGCAATATCTCGATTAGGAAAATGCCAAGCAAACACAATGGTTAAAAGTTTAGTTTCATTGGGTTTTAATATGGTTCGTGTAGACACTGCACCATTTAAGCCAGTCACATTCACATTTGACTCATTAGCAACAGCACCTGTACAAATGTGTTGAAACTCTGTTAGTTATTTTAAACAACTTTTTTTTTATATTTGTGTCATAAACAAAACATTTCAGTTTTTATAAAAATAATATATAAAAATAAAAAAAAATTAGCTAGTCAAGTTTGACCAGAATAAATTAAAAAAAAACTATAACTCCAAACTTATGTATAAACTTTGCTTATATTTTTTTATAAAAATCAATAACTTGAACCCACCAATAACTTACAAACCCTGACTTTTTCATCAAAGCTTGTATTTTAAAGTTAAAGAGTTGAGATTGTTACTTAAAAAAAATTAATAGCCTTCTTGACTGAAGTGACACCCCTCTGCCTTGAGAAGGTGAATACAGCTAAAAAAAACTTGTTCAAGACAAACATACCAGTTTAGTTGACTAACATTAGCTTAATAACTGGATTTTCAGGAAAAAAAAAATAGTGAAGAATTTTTTTTTGTAAGAAGAAATTTTTTCATAAAAATCACTAAATAACTCAACAAAAAGTCTAACAAATTTAACTCCTTGATATCCCAAAAACGAAAACAAAATATTTGTAAAAACATTTTTAGTCAACAAATTAAATCGTTTTTTCAAAACTGATAAAAACTTTCTTTCTGCTGCAAATTAAAAAATCATGAAACTCTTTTCATCAACAAGGTTTTTTTTTTACCATTTACTTTAGCCTTGTAATTATTGAGGATGACTTTTTAAATAAAAAAGAATGCTATTTAAAATTATTTCAAATGTTCAACATTTTATTCCAAGTGAGATTATTCAAGATTTAAATGTTTTTGCAACAGTGGATACTGTCTTTGCAACAGTGGATACTGTCTTTGCAACAGTGGAAACTGTCTTTGCAACAGTGGAAACTGTCTTTGCAACAGTGGATACTGTCTTTGCTACAGTGGATACTGTTTTTGCAACAGTGGATATTGTCTTTGCAAAGAGAAACCTTTACACAAAATCAAAGAAAAGAATGCTGAATTAAAGAAAGTTGTAAAAGGATTGTCATAGGTTTGCTATGAAAATCGGAAATTTAAAAAATATATTGTCAGCTCAAGATCAAAAACAAAAATAAAATTTTTGAATCAAATAAGACAAAAGAGAACAAATCAAAATGTAGCAGACTTTAAAAAATAAATTTTTTGAACATTGAAGTATCTGCATCATATATTAAAAACTCAGAGAATATAAACATGAAACTATGAATTTTGATTTAGATATGATCTTAAAGTTACTTTTAATTTGAACAAAATGAAATTTAAAATGCAGGCTGTTTTTATATATAAAACTTAGTTTACTCAATTTTCAATGAGTGTTGCCTATGGAAAAATTCAGGTTGCAGGAATGGTAGCAGGTAATGCAGCAAATGAGTGCTGCCTATGAAAAAATCCAGGTCGCTGAAATGATATCAGGTAAGATACAGAAGTTTGTCATGGTTAAGATCAGAATCCACTGTTTTTGGAGGTTACTTTGCAGTTACAGAAATCACTATTTTTTGGAAGTTACTTTGCAGATACAGAAATCAATGTAAAAGCTTGATGGGTAAAATACTGTTTAAAGAGTAAAATGGCAACACTTGTACTAAATCCTCTACTTTAGGTCTTTTCAAATTATCATTCACTAATTACTTGACCTTTATGGTCTTTCTTAGCTTATCAAGAATCTTTAGCCATTCAAAAACTGGTTACAATTCCCAATAAAAGAAGGAATCTTTTAAAAAACCAGTAGAAACCTGCTAGTTGGATGAAGACGACAAGCTCTTTAAAGACCTACAAAACATAATAATAAAAAACTTGAAAATTTTAACCGATTTTAACCAAAGGTGACTTAACTTAAGACATCATTCTTATTCTGTAGATCAGAAAATAAGTACAATAACTTTACAAACAGACAAACAGTTGATGGATAACGAATGCAGCAAATTAAGATGGTGTTCAAGACAACAGAAATTGTGATAATGATAACACTAATTTGCCCAAAAATTGATGTTCTGTAGACATTCCAGGTGTTCCATAACTTCATGCCTTTCAGTCTTAACAGTGAAAATATTTAATAAAATATGCACTCATTATTTAAAATAATGAGTGCATATTTTATTAAATATTTTTAAATTGAACAAAAAATCTTAATGAAATTATTATTCCACCTAAAAATAGAATTCCTTCACTAACTGTTTTACTTTAGTTAGTCACCCTTGACAATCAGTCTTTAATTTATTTAAAAGTGTTAGCATTTGGTAGCAAAACAATGGAGTCAAATTTAAAATAAACTTTTCTAACCTGTCTGTTTGAAATTATTCCATACAACTTCTGGATCATCTGCAACAGCAAATGAATTAATTTCTGAGCCATGATTTAAAGGATATAAGGATATATCACCACTTTGAGGTGAGGTACCTGGTCTTTTGCATCGTAACATTTTTTCATTGGTAGACCATTCACCTTTTAAACCTGATATTATTCCATATTCATATGAATGCAAAGGCATATTATCTTTTAACATGCATGAAAATGGACCATTTGTTGTCCATGCCATACACTTTTCTTTTTTAGCACATGCATTTTGGCAGTCTGCTGCTGTTACAAGTCTAGTAAATGCAACCTCAGCAAAGTTATTCCCACGCCGTATGGTATCTTCATGATAACCAAATGGTAAATTTATCATGAAAGATATGTCAACCTCTTCCGAATGGGGATTAGTAATATGCAAAACAAAAGCCACAGAAGGAGTTGCTGCTTTTTTAGGATTTCGAGGATGGAAAGTAGAAAATGCATATAAATTTAGTTTGACATCATCCTTTGATGCTTTATTGAGCTCTAAATAAAAAGTAAAAACAAATATGTAGTACAAAGAGTAAAAATTGTGAATAAAAAAAAATTGAAACTAAAACTATTACCTATTTCAAGTTTGGAAACAGGATATGAGCCAGAATATGTCTGACTGTATACTCCATCAAATCCATGCGGGGCATGAGTGCGGAGTACAGAAGCAGTTGGGGGAAGTTTGCCTTTTTGAACACGCACACCAAGTAGTAACATTTCAAGTGAAGACTTACTGAGTTTAGCTGCTCCTCCAGGAGACTGATTTTCAATAGTCCATTCATGAAATGTACCTAGCAAAAGAAAGTAAATTAAAAAAAAAAAAAATAGAAAAAAAAAATTCTTATCAAAAAGTATTCAACACAATTTAAATAAAGAAAAAATGAAAGACATTTTAGAAAATTAAGTAAGATAACAATGATGCAATAACTACAATTCAATTTAATAATTTTCTTTGCAAAAATTATAAATAACATTCATAAAGTCATTATTTATCTAATACTTTTAGTAATATAAGTTTACCATCAGTGCGCATTTCAAATGAACCACTTCCTAGGCCACCTAATGGAATAGATGATCGCATTCCTACAGGCGGATGTCTGTAGTGATCCCGATGGACTTTACCAGAGACACAATCCTCTCGTGGCTCTGGATGAGGAACATCAGTCTTCAACCAACAACAATAACTGTCTAAACACATTAGTAGTATTAATTTTAAATTTATATAAAGAGTTTAGTTTTTTTAGTTTATTTTAGCTCTATTTTTTTTATTTTATATAAATTCTTTCTTTTGCTGTTGTTCAAATTTTTTGTGATTTAATTATTTTAAAATTATTTAAAAATTTTATCAATAAATTGTTATTTAACCTATGATATAACCTATTGTATTATTTTTGATACTAAAAAGCTGTTTATTTATTTATTTACTAAAATGACAAAGCTTTATATTTTGAGTTTCGAATCAAAAAATTAGAAGATTAGGTAAAAAGTAACTAATAGCAGCGGCTATTCTAGACCGTTTTCTACAGCACCCATCATATTTGGGCGCCACCCAAATTAAAAATTAAGGACTTTTTTTTTGTTTTGATTTTTACACAAAGAAACCCCAATATTCAACAATATTTCCACTAAATTTTTCCAGGAAGGGGGTACCACCACCCATATTTTTTCCTTAAAATAGCCCCTGAATAGTATACTTTAAAACTGATGAATTCCTGTTTCGTAGAAATAACTAAAATTTTATAGATTAATTAGTATTAACTAAATACATTATTATTAGTATTAACTAAGTACATGTTTTATAGAGAAATATTCATTCAAAAAAAAAAAGTTTAATAATTGAAATTGCAACTTTGGAGAACATGTATCTATTAATGAATTGTCAAAAGAAACACCAAGACCTTAAGCTTTTCATATCTTAAACAACCCATATGAAAATTAGCAGAAAATAAAATAAAATTTTGACGAGCTGTTTTACAGAAAAGTATATATGTGTATATTTATATACACAAAAATATGTAAATTGGTTTCATAATAAATGTTGTTACTATTTCCAATCTATATAGTTTTCCTTAAATTAAAAAAAAACTTTCAAATTTTTTGAGTTGTAGTCAGACAAAATATTGGTGCTCAAGACATTTGGAAAATTTCAAACTTTGTATGTTCATCAAGATGTAAAAACTTTTAAAAACATTACAATAATTAGAAATTAAGTAAAAAGTTCCTAAATATTTCTATTCACCCCTGATCTTATCTAAAAAGGATTTAATATTTGAAGTTTTTTTTTACCCTATTTTCAACTAAATTAAAATTTATTAACAGAATTTATAATTTATCAAAATTGTTGTAGTATTTTAAAGTGACGCCCATTCAAATTTCAAAACATTTGTTTTAAATTTTGAATGGGCGTCGCTTTAAAATACTAATAACATGAAAATTGGAGAGAATTGGAGAGATTGTCTAATTTAATTTAAAATTTAAAATTGGAGAGATTGTCTAATTTAAACTACAATTTTATTGTAAGTAATAATTGTTTTATTACAGTATAAACAATTATTAGCAAAGTTCTAATTACTATCATTTTGCAATATGATATACATAATATGCTATAAATAAAAATTAAAAAATTACTCACTCGCAGGACAGTTCGATGTTGCAACGTTCTGTATTCGCAATACCCATGCTGCACAACGAGGTTCTTTACAACAATATTTCTCACATATTTTTGCATTGTTTTCCATAGTACTTCCATGCAATGACTTGACTTCAAAACTCTTTTAAATATTAACTTTAATAATATTCAATTTAATTCTTTTTTAAAAATTATATGGTTCAGGGATGCAATGTCAAAGTCTAGATATATTGAAGTTTATTGAAGCAAAATATTTTATAATAATCTTAATTAATATAATAATTTTATAATTTTCCTTACAAATTTGTTTTGCAAGTATATATATTATATATATTGCAAGTATATATATTATATATATTGCAAGTATATATATTATATATATTGCAAGTATATATATTATATATATTGCAAGTATATATATTATATATATTGCAAGTATATATATTATATATATTGCAAGTATATATATTATATATATTGCAAGTATATATATTATATATATTGCAAGTATATATATTATATATATTGCAAGTATATATATTATATATATTGCAAGTATATATATTATATATATTGCAAGTATATATATTATATATATTGCAAGTATATTACAATCAATATGAATCTGAGTACTCACTGATTTCACTGTGTGAATGCCTCGCAATACATATAGCATGCAAGATTTTCTTTCTTAAAGATACACCATTTAGAAAACTAGCACTTCCAAAATTTACAGTAGACTGAAATTTATTTCCTCAAATGTTAAGACTAGTCATGTTTTGACTAGTCTTAACATTTTGTTAATATACCACATTATGAGTTATGCATATTATGATTAGCATAACTGTTGGTTTGCATATAGGTTAAATCATGAATATACTGTTCAGCTAGATAAGTACCATTAGTGCTACAGATAGTACCTTTTTTTTTGAAAATCTTATCACAAACAGTTGAAGTTAAAAGTCCAAAAAATTTTATCATATATGTTCTAGAGTTGAAAAAAATTTGCATCCCTGAAATGTTTGAATGTAAAACTTTTAAATATTTATTTATGATTTTGTAAAAACTTACAAGAAAAACACTTCCTCTCAAATCTGTGCCATTTAACCATGGTGAAGGTTTACATTTTTCATATTTTTTAGGTTTTTCATACAAATAAAAATAAGGTGAATATGTCTTTGTAACCCATGAATGTTGCACCTAAAATCATTATAAGTGTCAAAGAATACAAAATTTGAAAAAACTATTCAATTTCACAACATTTTTACTCAATTATTCAAATTTGTTTTCAAAGCTCATAATTAACATTTAAAAACAAAATTAATAAAGCAGGATTTTACAGAGGAGGAAACTTCACTCTTGCCTAAAATACAGTGCTTTGTTTTTAAAATATCACTTACAGTTGAAATATTTTGTGGCTCTGTGTACAAACCACACTGAGATATATAAGCAAATTCTTGACCTGCTTTTACTTTTCCAGTAGCACCATTTTTAAAACGAATATCTTCCAAAGATTTTTGCAAACTTTTAGCATAATTATCTGTAGATAATTAAAATAAATAATTTATTAAAAAATATTAAAATCTTAACACAATTTTAATTAGTGTATGTATGCGTGTCGTTATATATATATATATATATATATATATATATATATATATATATATATATATATATATATATATATATATATAATATATATATATATATATATATATACATATATATATATATATATATATATATATATATATATATATATATATATATATATATATATATATATATTTAGTGTATGTGTGTCTATACACACACAAATTTATTTTAAATTTATTAAACCATATAATAGTGAGCCAAGAAGTAAACCATATACAAAATTTTTTTTTATAACTCTTTTTATAACTCTCCATAATTAATCTCTATTACTTATCTCCATAACTAATCTCCATTACTTATCTCCATAAGTACTCTCCATTACTTATTTAAATTTAGTTTTTATATATATTAAAAGATGTTTTTTTTATGTATTTTTATTTACATGAAATATGAGCATTTGAGAATAAAAAACTTTATTATAAGTAATAAAACCAATAAGTAAAAAAACATTTAATTACATATAAGTAATTTCGGTTAAATTAAAGAATTCTTGTGTTATATTTAAATACTTCTGCATTGTCAAGACACCAAATTGGTGCATGTTTTTTAAGAGTATTCAGATGTTATTTTAGTAATACGTTGAAAAAGTATTACTAAAATACTATCTGAATACTCTTATTGTCTTTTCACTGTTTGTCTCTTTTCACTATTTGTCTTTGAAAAAGTATTACTAAAATAGCATCTGAATACTCTTATATAATTTCTTTATAATTATAATTTCTGATACAATTTCTTTTACTGTTTAAAAACACATCTGCAAATGTTTTTTAATATTGAAAAGACAAAATTATAAATTTTAGAGGAAAAAAATGAAAAAATTAGTAAACAAAAAAAAAAAAAAGAAAAAAAAAAAAGGAATATTGCAATAATTATAATAGTTATATTATTGCAATAATAATATAACATTTTTAAAAGAAAAAGATAACTAAAGAATAATATTATAAGACTTTAAGTTATCTGTTATTTGTAAATATATCCTGTAACTTTTACCTATTTTATTTGCCTGTTTTTTATTCCAATATTTTTTTTTCTTTTATACTGTTCTCTTTAATTTTTAGGATGAATTTTTTTTTTGGATTACAATTTATTTCAACAATTTTTTTTTAATTCTACATTGCTAGAGTTTTTTTATCGTTACTGTTTTTGTCTGCTTGATTTTGATTTTCGATTTAGTAATTCTTGGTCTAGTTATTATTATAACTTGTAGCTTTCTTTTATTTTTTATTTTATCTCATTTTTTAAAAAGTTTATTTTTTTGTCCAGTATTTGTGTATAGTCTGTTGTTTGCATTTTTTTACTATTATTTATAAGTTTTAGTTGACACTTATTAGATTAATTTGTAACTGTTTATATATCATTATTTAAATATTATTTATTTAATTTTCATTATGATTATAGATGTATTAATCAACTATTATCATTTTCTTTACAATATTTGTTTTTCATCTCAAGCTGTTTCTTTATGCAAGTTTTTAATTGTTTGTAACTTTGTATATTTGTTTGTAACTTTGTTAGTAACTTTGTTTGTAACTTTGTATATAATATTTTATTTCTGTTTTGAAATCTATTTTTGATTTATTTTTACTATTTTTTTTTATTATTATTATCAGTGTTGATAATTTTCCAATTATTATCATTACTTTTGTTATCATTATTATTATTCTTATCATTATAACTTTTACTATCGCTGTTAATATTATCATTAATATTATTACTATTTATATCATTAATACTATTTGATATCATTTTTATCAGGTTTTTACTTCATCATACTATATCGCTGATATAGTATGATGAAGTAAAAACCTGTTAAAACTGATATTATCAGTTTCAAACTATTTGTAATTATCCTTTATTATAAGACCTCATTCAAAAATATATGATTGATTGATTAAAAATCACACATTTAAAAAAATAAGTCTTAAAGAAATTAATTTTCTGCTGCACAATAAATAATAATCGACACACGTTGATAGGTGCTGTATAATATTTATTTGAGCTATATGATGTTTAAATTGAGTTTTCATTGATTTCTCGTCCCCATAAGAGACTATTCTTATTTTATGTTTCAATTTGGTTGCTATGGAGCCGTCCGGTCAGGGATCGTCCGTAAAGTACGTACGCTCGGAGGGGAAGAGGGGGTCTAAAAATGGCATCTATGAGATGGGAGGGCAATGGATCAATTATAAAAGAAAGGAGAGACTATGTTAAAAAAAATATCATAAAATGTTAGATAAATAGGTTAAAAGCGTAGGTACTTTTAAGGAGGCGAAGGGTACTCAAAAAGCGTTTTGCAAAATGAGGGGGAGGGGGGGGGGGGTGGAGCCGCGGTTTTCTAACGACTCCGCCGCGGCTGCTGTATAATCATTTTTTAAAAACTAAAATTATTATTTTTTAGCTTGTAATTAACCATAATTCGAAACACGACGAAGAACATGTAAAATAAAGTAATTTTAATTCATTAAAAATATATATGCATACAAAAAACAGTTTGCGTCGAAATAAAAAATCAAAAAATTCAGAAATAATGAGAACTTTATTTATGGGATTTTTATAACTCCTAATGTTTTTGAATAAACGCGAACAAAGGAACATTTAAACCGTTCATTTAAAAAATTTCAAATGTCAATTTTATAAAAGAAAAAGATCGTTAAGAATATTAGGTTAAAAATATGTAATAAAATAATATAAATAAATAATATATTCATCTTTTTTTACAATTAGGATTTTTGGAAAGCGATAAATAAGAATTAATAGGCGATGATTATCTTCTTCTTTATAAAATGAAAAAAAGTAGCTTTCGAATTTAACTGAAAGTTAAATGAAATTTTGAAATTGTTACCGAGTTTAACTGAAAGCCGAATTTCCATTTCAACTTCAGTACCGAAGTCGAAGCCGAGGTCAACTTCGTATTTATTTATTTGCAACTATTGAGGTAATTTTTTATTTTTTCTTTGCCTGCATGAACGGACCTTTACTGAAATCAGCACTATTTCTCAAATTTCGCTTAACTTGTTTTTTTTTGTCAACATTTTTACTTAAGCTCTGCACTACTTTGCCTTTGTTGGGCGTTAAAGTTAAAATTTTCTATTGACCTGACTTTTTTTCTCTGCTTCCCGTTTTCTTCACTAATTTCAGAACTGGCAAAAACGACAATAACATCTTTGAAATTAAAGATTTTTTTGCATCCTCAGCTGTTGTATCCAGAGCAGAGTCTTCTCTTTCGTTTGTTGTAGGATTATCTTGATGTTCTTTTCATTCAATTTCTAAATAGTCTTCTTTTTGAAATATGTTTCTTCAAACTGGATACAAACCTAACGTTTTGAAGCCATTAACGGCTCTTTCTCCAAAACGGACCTTTTATTATGCTTTTCCAAACAGTTTACTAATATTAAAGTGTGTAACAGGCCGCTGATAAGTTTTCAAAAAGATGCTAAGTTCTTCGTTTTAGAAATGCTTTAATGTGTCAATAATAGATTTATTCAGACCTCTGAATAAATCTATCTAAATAAATCTCTGAATAAATCTGGAGTAACCTCTAAAATCCTTTGCAGATACAAATCGTACGGGGCGGTAAACATAAAATTTTAACAAACTGCTCCTTTGTACATAAAATGTTTAAATTCTTAGTGTGGGTATGGTGACCGTCTAAAATGAGTAGTACGGGATGAGTAGGACGGGATTATCTGCCGTTGGGCAAAAAAGGTTTTCAGTATTTAACGGTTTTTTTATTTGCATACATTATTCGCGGGTGCATTTTTGTATTCTAATCTAACTAGTCGGTTAGATTTCTTTAAAGCTCGTTTTTCGGCGGTGTTCTTCACGTCCAAAAACATTAAAAAATCCTTTTTTGTGGGCAGTAGCAGTAGTAGTTAACATTCATTGATCAATGTTATAAAACTTTTTACCAGCATAAAATACAACCGGCGGTAAATTATACTGGCATAAATGATATTTCGTCACATTAGAATTATAGGGTTCTATCTGCCTTTTTTTTATGTTGTGAGAACTTAACTTTCAATATTTATTTAATACATGTTTTACAGCTGTTATTCATTATAATTATAAATTATAAGTTGCTTATGTTATCTATATTTCATTATTTAACAAATTTATATTAAACCACTTAAAAAATGATATATAATATATCATTTTTTAAGTGGTTTGTTTTTATTATTAATTATTAATTAAAACTTTGGTTGTTAAATTCTTTCAACATAAAACAAGGCAGATAGAACCCTATAATTCTCATGGAACGATTTGTCAATGTTATATTTTTAAAGATGCATATAATTTCAAAAAATTACCAGCGATAACCTTTCTACTACGAAAACATTTACCGTCAAAAAATGTTCCGGAGGAAGGACCTACGGAAACTTTTGTTGAAGATCCAAAAATATAAATTTTCAGTTGTAGAAAACTTAAAAGTTATATCTTTGGATCTTCTGTGGTTCAAAATATTTTTGAATATTCAAATCAAATAATTTTTTGTTTTTAACCTTTTATGTCATGAGAATTTGATTGATCCGGATTTTTAAAAAAACAGATTTTTAAAAATAAAATCAGTGCGTAGTTTAACCAACAAAGTTTGGTGCAGAAAAGTTTTATAACATATAAACATTTTACGACTCTAAACTTCCGGCTGTAAAAACTTCTCAGAGAAAAGTTTTCACTGCGTTGGAAACTTTACTCTGAGAATTTTAAGCATATATATTTTGAACTTGTTTTTAATGAATATAAATATAGTTACAAGCTCTTATATATTTTTTTATAAACAAAGTGTATTTTCACTATCTATTTTTTGGTGACGATTAACCTCGTGCCGTGTGACTAAATAGTAAATCTAAAAAGTTGTGGTACTGTTTTCAAAAGCTTTGTATGTACTAAATGCACTGAATGTGTTTGAGCTGCATGCAAGACTGTTTGATCAACTTCTAATGTAGAGATTTTGTAACTTTGTCAGTTGTAACCTTCACACCAAATATGTTGTTAACTTTCAAATATCACCAAATAATAACAAATATCACCAAATATTACCAAATATGTTGTTAACTTGTTATTATTACTTTGTTATTCATAATGGTGGTAATACTTATTTTCTAAAAATGAGAAAGTAAGAAGCAATATTGAAATTGGAGGACAAGCAAACAACTCGTTTGTGGACCTGGATTAAAAGTTTAGTTTTAAGAATAAAGTATTGCATATATTATTTTATGCAATACTTCATCTTCGAAATTTTAATAAAATTACAATGAACTATTAAGCTACAGGTTTGATAAAATGTCTCTGAATAATAAAGTGAAACTATCTGTTTAAATATCGAAACTCCCTACTGTAAAATCGAAACCTACGTATTTAAACATCGAAACTACCTTTTTAAACATCGAAACTGCTTGTTTAAACATCCAAACTATCTGCTTTAACATCCAAACTATTTGTTTTAACATCCAAACTATCTGTTTTAACATCCAAACTATCTGTTTTAACATTAAAACTACTTGTTTAAACATTAAAATTACCTGTTTAAACATAGTTTTAAATATTTTATTGCAAGTTTAATACTCTAAAATATAGTATAGTCTTTTTTTTCAGAACTACATTAAACTTGTTTAAAAGCTCGAATAATCAAGAGGCAACGAAAAAGATTGTACACTTTTTTGGATTTTCATCCAAATGCGAAAATAGCGTTTACTGTTAATCGCTTTTTCATGGAAAACGCTTTAAGTGCAGAAAATTGGTTGCACTATTTCGAATAAGAAATTATACTGCTTGATGACGAGTCATATTTTCTTTTAAGCAATGCTAGGCTTTCTAGCAACCTAGCAACCTAGGCTTTCTAGCAACCTAGCAACCATAGCTTTCTAGCAACCAAGGCGATATACTTCTGATCCTGACACATCACCTAATGAGAGAAAACTCGAAAGAAAAATTAAAAGTAGACCAAAATTATTAATTTTGACAGCCTTGTTTTTGAAAGGAGTCTCAAAGAATTACACTATTCCTTCAGGCCAAGCAGTCGAAAACAATTTGTACATTTGCAAATGACTGATTAAATTAAAAAAGTATATTAATGAGGTTTACAAAAACTACAAAATTGTTTTCTGGCTTGATCTAGGTTCCGCAAACTATTTAAACAAAGTTCAAGATTATCTAAAACACGAATACAAGCCGAGAGACAAACCCTTCTAACGTGTGGATGCACTATTTTTGGATGATGTAATAAATTTGTGAAAATAGTCGCAATATAAAAATATTTCGTTAAATTTAAACCTGATTTCTTTAATTTTAAACCAAAAATCACGAGAGACTAACTACAAAAACATTTTTGAGATCAAAAACAGTTTTGAGATTGCAATCCCTGCATACGAATCCCAAAAAATAAAGCATACTTTAAAATAAGTTTTAGTTTGTGTTGAAGAAACAGGTTATCAAGACAGTAAAAACAAAAATCTGTTGTAAATATTTCTTACGTTTAAAAAAACCCAAAATTGAACAAAAATTAGTTTTTTGTTTTTCAATCTGCGAGAAAGAAAATAAGAGGCAATATTTTGAAAAACCCGTTATATGAAAAAGTCACTAAAAAGTAATAACAAAATTAAAATCAAAGTTCTTTTAAACTTTTAACTTTCCAATATGTAAATGAACAAAACTTTTACTAAATTGGACCTAACTTAAATGTTCTACAGAGAATATTTGAACTTAAACATATTTTTTAAAGTATTTGAGTTTTGGACATTTATTTACGCGTTTTATTATCAAACCGGATATCATATACCTAAATATTTGAATGACCGGATATACTGCCGGATAATGTAAGTCAAATCATAAATTATATATTTTATTATGACAAAATATTCCCGTGATAAACTTTTAAAATGACGAGTATTGTTTTGAAGCTTTTCAAAATTAATGATAGCTGTGATTTCACAGCAATTTGCATTCCATATTGAAAGTAGATAAGTAATAAATCTGGTCAGAAGTCATTTTCCACAGCTCCAGTGCAAAATCACGCGAAAGAATTTTATTATAAATTGTATGAAGAGGTAAAAAATATATATTGAATCTTCTTCAGCTGCACAAGGAAGTTCAAAATTAATTGAATTCTGATCAAATCTCCTTTGTAAAAGCTGCTCAAGGATGTTCTCTTTAATCATTCGATCGCATAAAAAATTAATGACGTTTCCAATTATTGGGAAGTTTCCACTGCTAAAAGAGTTAGCACTTGAGTTACTAGCACCACCTACATTCTCTGTATTTTTGGAGGATTCTTTTCATTATTTATGAGAAAAAGCAATCAAGGCAACATCAACGTGGAGAAATCCTAATTTCTCCACGTTGAGGTAAATGAAATATAAATGAGTGATAAACTGATGAATTTATTGCGCATATATAATTTCAGTAGTATTTTAATAACAATATCGATTAGAAACCATTAACATTAGATTATTTAAAAATATAACATTTCTAGATTTTTTTTCAATTTTCGAATTACATTAACATGAAATATCCGGTATATAAAAAACCGGATAAAGATGATATCCGTTAAATATAGGATATCGAATAATACTACTATCCGGCCGGATAACTTATCGGGGACACCACTAGTATTTAGTTGATACTATTTATTTTTATGAGATCAATTTGTGGTTTTTAAACTTTTTGATTTGAATTTCGAGTTAAAAACCTTTAATGTTTTTGTGCAAATATTTTGGTTTAAAGTTAAAAAGAAAAATTCTTAAAGTGACCTTTGGAGTTTTTTCTTATGAGTGTTGACAAAAAAGAATGCACTTTTTATATTTTGAGTAAGGTTTTAGCTATTTTCTACGGTTGCTTATTACTCAACTTATATCCGCAGCTGCTTATGATCAGGTCAATTTCAAAGGAATTTTGTTTGAAAAATAATTTTTTTTTTAACCAAAGTAAAATATATCTATTTAGAAATTATCAAAGTTTGTAACAAACTTGAAAAAAAATGAAATAATCAAACTTTTCGTTAATTAGCAATCGTAGCGTAATAACTACGATCGGTAATGGTAATGGTTAGAGAATTTGAATCAAAAAGTAAAAGGTTTGATATCCGCACCGAACATATAAGCAATATCAGTTAGGACGACAATTAAATTTCCCCATTAAATGTAACGCTGCGACACTTTGTGAGGTACACCATTTGGGTGTACATTAAGAACTAAAAAGTAAAATCCTTAAAGTTTTAATATTGGATTGAAGATTTACTTTGGCATAAAGTTTTTTTTAGCAAAGGTTTTTAGCTTAAAAAGTTATTTTGTTAAATTTTCTGATATACATAATATCAGCTTATATTGCATTTTATGTGTTTTATGTAAGTATCTAAATTCATTCTCATAATTTTTTATACAAAAAGGTGTATTCAAGTTTGAAAAAAGTCAGCTAAATACATTAATGTAAATTTCGGACTTAAAAAAAAAATGGAGCTTGTAAAAGTTCGTACAAATGATATTATCAGTTGTTCGATGCCTATGTTTAAAAATATTATACCATGCAAAACTTATGCTTTCATCCAATTAAAAAAGTTTTTTACATGGTTTTATTAAAGCATGGTCACTTAAACTTGGTTGTAGTTGAACAAAGTTTTAAATTATTTGATGAATACAAATTTAGTTTGAGATCGTTTAAAAATATAATTTGTGCGCGGGCCTAACATTTTATTGATTTGTTGTTTCAGATTAAATAACGACATTTTTTAAAGTATCCTATTTTTTTTCTTTATTTTATATTCTTTATGTTTTAAAGTTACCTCAAAGGTTGGTAATCAATTTTGTTACTACTTTTGATACTACCCTGTTCCCTGAAAATTTTTTGACGCATCGATTATCATGGTCCGATTTTCATTGATTAATTTTGAATATAAGATTTTGTTCAACATTAAAAAAAATTTTAACTTACCTTGCTGATTTCTTAACTGAGTTTTTACATCATGCTCTTTAAATAAATCATTGCTAGTGTTTTTGTTGGTGTTCTTTACGGTACTATTAGAGTCCTTTTCTGTTTGGTTGTGTGTCTTTTCTAACAAATGGTTTAAATCTCTTATTTTAGCGTTTTCAATACGAGTTTGAGACAAAGGAGTTAATATTTTATAGTAGCTTACAAATGATTTATGCAAATTATTTAAAACTCCCTTATGACTTTTTTTTACTGGTTTATTTCTTTTTTTGTGGTTATATTTAACAAAACCTACTCTAATATCTTTATTTTTATTATTATCATGGTTACTGTGTGTTGGTTGGTAGATCAATTTTGTTACTTCTAATGAATTTCTGTGCAATTTTAATTTGCTTTCCCCTAAATGTTCTCTTGAAGAGTGGTTAACGCTATGAAAAACTTCATCTATAGAGTGATTACTCTGCTCTTTATGCAGTCCAGTATTAAATGCTTCTATTAAAGTATTCAGGGTGTTATTTTTAAACTCACTGGATTCTTTAGACTCACTATCTTCTGACTTATTTTCTTTAGAATCTACTTTTGAATTAGATAAGCGTCTGATACTTAATGTTTTGTTGCTGTTTTCATTGTTTTTTATATGAGTATTTTGTTTGGGTAAAACTACAAACGTGGCATTAAAGTTGTGAAATAAACCATCATTTATACGATCTCCGGAACCTGATGATTGATCTTCGGATTCGCTAAGTATTTCTGTAAATTTAACAAGGGCGGCAATTGCTTCTTGACTTCTTTCCTCGTTTATTTTATCAAAACAACTAACAAATGATGCTGAAATAAGTTAACAAATAAAGTTTAACTAGTTAATTTAACAAGTTAAAAGAGTTTGACTACAAATACGATAACAAGAGTAAATATTAACGACAAAAAAATACATGTTATTAATAAAGTTTTGCATATCATGTACAAAATAAAAAGTTTTATTAACGTAAACCAAATTTTAAAATCAATGAAAACTACAATAACGTTTCATACCTGGAAGAATAATAAAAAACAGAGTGAGAAAAGGTTGCCTATAATTCACCATTGCGGTTTATGTATCCATTTATATTCCTGTGAGAGATGGCGGTCGTTTAATCGTCACACTTGGCTAACGGCGCGTAAGAAACCCTTATTAACTAATTAACTTAGAAAACTTTTTTTGAAAATTTAAAACTTATATATGATTTTAGATTTTATTTTAAATTTTCTTTAATGTTTTTGGAGCTTCTTGTTATTGCTTATTTTCTGCATATTTTGTACTTATGAGCAAAAGATTACTCTTTTTTTTTCTTGTCTCTCTGCGAGGAGCTGTTACTATGCGAAAGTGTTCGTTGCGCAAAGTTTAGTTTGACAATTTTAAATGGCATTAAAGATGGAGAGTATTTTAAACCTTTTAGATGGAGTGTTCTTTATAAAAAAAAAAAGTTTTTTTTCATAAACAAACTCTGCATCTATATAACCTTAAAAATGAAAAGAGATCAACATTTACTAAATATTAAAATCCTCTCAGTACTTTATTATGTTAAGTTTAGCATTACTTACACAGTATCTATATACGTCATTGTAGAAGTTGATTTTGTTAAAAAAAAAAAAAATCTAGTTTATTTACTAAATTATTTCAAAATAGTCCCGGGCTATTTTAAAAAAATGCTGCCGTGGCGCAGTAGTTAGAGTTCTGGCTCAGAAGTTCTGAGTCAAAACCCAGAGGTCCGATGCTAGACGCTGGCTCTAGCCCATTGACATTATACATTGACTAAGATACATTGCTATATAAGAAGGCGCGAGCTTCCTAGTTAAATGCACTTATACGGTGCTCTGTGTAAGGACTTTGTGGAACACCCCTTAAAAACTACAACCAAAAAAAAAAAAAAAATTAGGAGGCCCCTTTCATTGTTTTTAATCAAAGATTTTATTTTCAGAGTTCCTTTTAAAAAATTGTTTATTTTGAATTAGGGCCCCCCAAAACTACAGGGCCCAGGGCTATAATACTGTTACAGGGGCAATTCTAGTAATAAAATGAGGAGGTGTCGAATCCTTAAAAACTACTAACTGCTTTTTTAAAAAAATTTCCCAACTGAAATGTGTTAAATGTCGACTAACCGACTAAGTTTCTTAAAAAAACGGACTATACTCCTGAAAAAACTGACTATAACTGAGTCGCATATTTTGGGAGGGTGTCAAACACACCCACTCACCCTCCATATTATCATAACGATAATGACAGCACTTAGGCCACAAGTATCGTTACCTAGAAAAGATAGCAATACCTAACAAAAATTTGCATATTATTTATTGATATTTATTCCATATACTGGATTATACTATTATCACATATTATTATATTATTGCCTTATTTACTTACAGTAGTCCCAGGTCTTTGTAAACCAACTTGATATAACGCGCAATATTATATTTTATGCCAGATCTCTATTTATATCACCTAAACTTTTTTCGTTTTTTGCTATTGTTGGAAGCTACAAATTTAGAGTTATGTTTTAGCTGCAAATTTTTTTTAGCACAATGTTTAGCTATTAACATATTATTTTAAAATCTAAAAAACCGCCATTGTATATACATATCGTTATTGCAATAGGTGACTTCAGACATCTAGTTGCTGCAGTATTGTAGTAATATAGTAGCTAGCAGCAAAGCTACAATGTGTCCGCATACTTACGCTGTCTACGCATACTTTGGTTTCATTTTATCTTTTTTATCTTGAATTATTCAAATATTTCATTTTTAAATTGACCTTTGTTTATGTTATCTTTACAGCCTTTTTTCATGCAAAAGTTGTACAATTTTAGTTTGTTTTAACTTAAAAACTTTTAGGTTTTAACTTTGCTTATAAAATAATAAGCTTAACAATTTTAATATTAATCAAATTTTGAATCTTTTAAACACGTTCGGAATTTTTCTATTAGAAGTAAAATATATTAACCTCCATATTTGATTATAAATACAAGACACAATATATACCTGAATATAAATACCTTACATCTAAGGAAGACTAAATACTTCACATCTGAGGAAATGTAAATATCTAATGTAGACGATTAGGTAGCAATGTCATTTTTATCTTATTTTTTGTTTCCAGTCTCAAATTACAACAACTTGTAGAAAAATTGATTTTAACTTGACACAACATCAATTGAAGATATTTTCTTTTATATTTTCTTTTATATTTTCGTTTATATGCAGCTTATTTTATTAAGGCTGTTGTTACAATTCTCTCTCATTCTAAAATCTCCAAAATACAAGCTGCGCAAAGAGACAAGGAAAGTATGGTACCACATTTTCTATTAATGGGATTGAACTAATTTTAAAATTTGAATTAAAAGCTAAGCATATAAAGTTTATAGAAAACTTAAGATAGTAGTTAACATGTAAATCTAGGGTGACCATTGTCCTGATTTTTATGTAGAACAGCGCAGCGCTAAAAAAATTTTGATTAGTTTAGCGCCGTGCTCTCCTACAAAAAAACAAGTACAACGGTCACTCTATGTAAATCAGAATAGTTGACAGTAAACTATATGAATCCTTATTACATTTAAAAGCATTTATACATTTTCAAAAAGTATGTTCTAGGGCTTTTCAAATGTAAGTCCTTTACTTTAATGAAAAAGTTGTAAGAATGTAATATGTTTAATATATATAATTTACTAAGTTAAAAAAGTAAAGAACAATTATTTAGAGTGTTTGAAAGTCCATATTGATCTTTTTGAGACAATTGAATAGATATTTTTGATTTATGATAACTTATGACTAATTTATTATAACTTATGACTAATTTATTACTCTATCAAATTTGTAACAAGATGCATAGCGCTATGCAAGACTAGAATTAATTAAACATTTATTAATGCATTTAAAAAAAACTGTTTTACATTAGAAGTTTTCATTATCCATGCTTTTGTTTCAGTAAATTATTCTGTTCTAATTAGAAAAACTGGAACTTTAAGGAATACTCTTACGGTTTTAAAAACATTTCTCGAACAAAAATATGTGCGCTGTGAAAACATCGAAACAACCTAAAATACTAAAACTTGTGGAGATCAACAGAATTTTATACTGAACCTTTCCTTTAAGTGCATCCATAAAGTATGTAGGCAGTAAAATCCACTAATTTAGAACCCTTTCTTTTCCAATGATCACTGCGCTACGGCCGTAGCGTAGTCGTCAGCCGTAGCGCTGACCACTACGCTACGGCTGCTCAAGCCTTTCCTCCCTTGTACGCATTTGAACGACTCTTTTTCTGAAAATACATAAATAATTTATGTTTAATATTAATTAAAACATCTTGAAAAAATTTACTCCAAAAAATTCACAACCTGTAAAACCAACTCTGTAAGTTTTTTAGTTGTGGCCTGTTTTATAAAAACTTACAATAAAAACTTCATATAAACTCAATTAAAAAAAATATCTCGGAGAGTAGAGTGGCATGATCTTTAAAATTAAGTCGCTTCTAAATTTTGAGTGATTAAAAAAATATTTTTATTCCTTTTTTTTAATTCATTTTCTTTTAATATTACAATAGCAACATCACATTTGCTAATACTAATCACACTAAATAAAAAAAGTTTTAGTAAACCAAAAGTTAGCTGTCAGAACTGAATGTAAAGCTGTAGAGATCCTCTATGTGAGCTTTTTGTACGTGTACTTGGTGCCTTAAAAGCAACATCCATTTCGTTTTACAATTCATGTAAAAGTCAAAATTTGGACTAACCTCGGAAACTTATTTTCAAAAAATAAAACATAAATATGTTGCAAGATTTTCAGTAAACCACATTGGTGTACCAAAATCTCATTCAAACCTTAGTAATAACATGATCTTCTTGCTATGACCATTATAATTACTACGACCTTTACAACTTATAAACTTTGTGCATTGTAACATTTATCGTAAAAGCTAATTTATAATGTTTTAAGTCATAAAATGTCTCAAAACAAGAGAATTTTTTTTTTTAAATTGACTTAGCAAGATATTTTAAGCACAACAATATATCAATGTATATACTAAGCATTTTGCAGAGTAGAACTTATAGCTGTAGCTTGATTTTAAAGGATTTTTTTAAGAATCAATAAACTTAAACTTGTTATTTAAATCTGCATCTCACACTCTAAATCTTGATCTCACACATTGATTGCATAAATTTGTTTGAGTGCTGACATAAACTGCTTTTGAATTTTACTCACGTTTGCATACTTGAAAACCATATTGTCTTAGTGGGTTTTTGTTTTAACTGTTTATTAAATGCATTTAATTTGACATTTTAAACATTTTGATTAAAAATTTGTTATACAAAGTTTTAAATTGTATAAACATTCCCTCTCGCACCAACATTGTCCCAATTTCTTAAATTTTTTTGTTTCAATTTTTATATACATTGTATTTAAAAAAAAAAAATTAAATAAACGTTATAAAGTTTTTTACTTTTATTTTTATGAAATATTAAAATTTTGAAATGATGCAATGGTTTTATGTTTTATATCTAAAATTTGAAACTTATTTTTATTTATACAGAACGAATAACTCAGTGGTACAGTGCCAAGGTACAGTGCCAGCATCGCGCAAGTTCATTCAGCAAATATAATAGTAAAATTAAAAAAATTATAAAAAATGGATTTTATATATCTTTTAAAAAATTATATTACAAATAATTAAAAACGAAGATGATAATAAAGCTAATGACTCTAATAGTGATTTCTTGTTACTATAAAGAATTTGGTGTTTTTGGAAAAAGTGTAATCGACGGTATACGAAACTTTTACGATTTTTTTTTAACTAAAAAGTTTGTGAATAAAATATAATTCGAAGTTCTAAAGTTGCTTGTGTTTTTTAGAAAATTTTTTTTTTTTTTTGAAAAAAGAAAATCATAATTAATTAGTATTTTTTCAAACTTTTTTAACAAATTTTTTAAAAAGGTTTTTGTCATCCAAAGTGTTTTGAAAAGTGTCTTCCTTCTTGTACATGCTGTAACGCCGATGTCGATAACTCAGAAAGAAGAAATAAAATCAAACGGCGGATTCTTGGTATAACTTTATTGGTAACTTTTTGATCTCTTAAAAAAAGTTTTTAGCATTTAAAATACTTTTTTTGTTTCAATAACAAGCTTGCTTCCAAAAATGTCTTTTAAACTTATTGGCATCAATTAATTTGTAAATGGTAATGCATTTACATTATGTTTTAAAAAACAGGTTATGTTTAATATGGGTACGCCTAATTTTTACAAGTTTGATTGGTAATTTTTACAAGTTTGATTGATAATTTTTACAAGTTTGATTGACCAACTTATAAAAACTTCTTCTACTTTTTAAGCTTGAAAGTTGATTCAATCTTACTAAAAATATTTAGAACGTTAACAAAGGGATGAACGTTTTTAATTGATAAAAGTAATGGTTTTAAAAAACCCAACAGAATTCAAAAACCTGTTTTGCACCTAACTTTAAATAATAAAACTATGCCCATATATATATATATATATATATATATATATATATATATATATATATATATATATATATATATATATATATATATATATATATATATACATATATATATATATATATATATATATATATATTTTGTTTCAACTTTAATTGTTTTTACGTTTTCCCACTTTATTTCTTGTGAGCAAAACTTATTATGGGTGGCTATTGCAGATTGATGCTGTTTCCCCTCGTTTAAACTCTTTAGATATTGTTGAGCCCGAGTCCTAATTTGAAGTTTAGTTTCGCCTACGTATCTTTTTGAGCATTTGCATTCAATCAAATAAGTTCCGGGTTGACTATTTTGTGGTAATTTAGTTTTGTTTTTTTGACGTCAGTAATGCTTTTAAATCTGGATTTGATTTGAAGACTACTCTATAGCCAGCTTTCCGAAATATTTTCCTTAGTTTTTTTCGCTTTCAGCTTCAATCGTATATTGTATTGCAGGGTGTTGTTTGTTTAAGATAGATAGGAATTGTTCTGCTTCTTGAGTGTTGGAAAATCTAGCGTCTATCTAAGATATGTCGACTATCGTCGACATATCTTAGATAGGATTTTAGGTCAAGAGGAGGATTTACTGCCATTGAAATTTTGAAAGTGTTTTGTTCATGATGTTGTAAAAATGATTCTGCAACTACAACCATGAATGAAAGACCTATAGGACCAGAATTCTCAAGTTCATGGATTTCGTTGTTCCAAAGGAAATAACAACGGTGTAAACAAAGTTCTATGAGTTGTTTTATTTCAGATATAGTAAGTTTGGTAGAACATTTGTAGGAATTATCTTTATTTAATTGGTCTATGAGAACTAAAGTGGCTTCCTTTAGTGGTATTGATGGATACAAGTTTATTACATCAAATGAAACTTGAACCTCGTTTTTGTCAATCTCCCATGAATTTGCTTTACTAATAAAATCAAAAGAATTTTTCAGACGTGTTTGGTTTTTGTTTAAGACAGGTTGTATTTTCTTTACCAAATAGTTCGATATTCCATAATTAGAAGTGCCGATATTTGATACAACTATTCTCATAGGATAAGATTTTTCAGGTTTGTGAGCTTTAATTAGACCATACATACGAGGCGGGATGGGATCACTTGGATATATACTATCATATTCCGTTTATGAAAATCGTTATTTTTTATTAAGTTGTGAGAGATAAGTCTTAATTTTAATAGCATAACTAGATGTGGGATCTTCACTTAAAATTCTTGTTGGGCCAATTTGTTCGCCAATTTTTTCCAAAGCTTTATCGTGTTCTATTCTAAGAAAACCATTACCATTATCAAACGGATATATATCAATAATTTTGTTTTTCTTAATTTCCATAAGAGCTTTTCTTTAATCTCTTGTTAAATTTTGATTTATTTTTTTACCCATTTTAAGTTCTTTTAAAACATTTTTTCTCAAATCCTGAGCATCCTCAATCTTTTAGCTATATTCCAATTTCAAAGCTGAGGTCTCTGTTGTTGCAATAATATCCATATTATATTGGTATATATATCAACGAAGGTACAAAATGTGGACCAAGATTAAGAAGATCATTTTGGTTTTTTGGAATATCATCATTGGATAAGTTTAAAACAGCGTTCTTTGTATGGGTTGTTAACTTACAGATTTTATTACTGTGATTATTTTCAAATTCATTTTGAAAAATTTTAAACTTTTTAAATAATCTCTCTTTCGATTTCAGAAACAATATTTCGCGAACTTTTTCAGTAGCTTGTTCAACTTTTTTGTAGTCTATTTCATCAAGAATAACTTTAAGATCTTTCTGGAGATTTTTAGTTTATTAACAAGCATAAAAAACCGTTTTTAGCATTGTTTTTAATACAAATCAAAACTTCAAATCTATATCGAATAACAATACTTACTGCTCTTTTTGTATTTACAGGACTGTAAATTTCTAATAATAAATTATTAATTGTATTAAGAGAATTCGTATTAATTGATGTTTTCTGACTAATATAACATATACTCTTATACACGATGTCAACACTAAAGACAACACTAAAATTAGTAGAAAATTATTTATCAAACTTTTTTCATTTAACACTAACATTTAACATAATGTTAAATGAAAAAGGTGTTACACAGTGAATTTCTAAATAAGAGCGAAATATGGTAAAAACTTTGAAAATTTTTACAATACTAAATATCTTTCTGTAATTTAAATTCAAAAAATATATTATTATTAAAAATGATGAATTTTTATTGTTTAACGGTTTGAGTTAATAAAATTGAAAAAAGAACGAAATAATTTTTTTGGGGGTAAAACAAAGTAGTATGAATAAAAAGTGGCTTAAAGTTTCTTATAGTGATAAGTTTTGATAATATCTTTATATTCCACAAGTTAGTTCTAACTTTCAGGTCAATATTTTTTATTCAATTAATGTTAATTTTTTGAGCGAATTTAAGGTGCTCATATTATCAGATGGTCAGGGTAATATGAGCACTTTCGCTACTTTTTTTAAAACGTTTTTGTTTTTAGGAAAAAAATTCGGTCACCAAAAAATTCGGTCTAAGTGGATCAAGAGTAGTAATCCCTAAGAATCCTTAAGGTTTATTTGATAAAATTTTGGATCCAGCATAATTATTTGTAATAATTATGCTGGATCCAATATAAATATTCCAATTTTGCCTACCCTATATATATATATATATATATATATATATATATATATATATATATATATATATATATATATATATATATATATAAAGTAAATAAATAGTATGATAACATATACAATGTTTTATAGCTTATAATATTATATATATATATATATATATATATATATATATATATATATATATATATATATATATATATATATATATATAAAGTAAATAAATAGTATGATAACATATACAATGTTTTATAGCTTATAATATTATATATATATATATATATATATATATATATATATATATATATATATATATATATATATATATATATATATATATATATATATAAAAGGAAATAAATAGTATGATACCATATACAATGTTTTAATGCTTATAATATTATATATATATATATATATATATATATATATATATATATATATATATATATATATATATATATATATATATATATATATATATATATATATATATATATATATATATATATATATATATACACACAGTTAAGTTAGTGTTTCTTGTATTTTATGAATTCGCGTTTATTTTTAATTATGTTTAGAAAATGTTCTTAAGCAAAAACAACTTGAGGTAGGCTTTGTATGCCATTCTTACTGCAAAACACGATGTTTGCCATCTTGCAAGTTCAGTTGCTGTGAAAAACAAAATTCCACTGAAGAAGTTGGAGAACATTCTATTGTATTCGAAGAAGGTTTTGATTTAAGTAAACTTCTTAAATCGCTTCAAGAAACGCAAAACGAATATCGAAAGTTTAAATCATATATTGGTAAGCTGCATAACGCCACAACCCACAAGTTAAAACATCCTTCACACCACTATTCACAGCACACTCATAAATCAAAATTAAAAATCCGAAATAACCTAATGTCGAATAAATCAGAACAAAAAGCAACTTTAAAAAACAAAAAAAAACAATCTAAAAAAAAAAGTAAAGAAAAAAACAATAAAGTAACCAACAAAAATGAGGTAACCACTAACGACAAAGTGATAAAATCAGAATATGACGAAAAAGAAAATGTAACTGATGTATCATCATCTGTTTTATCTTCAAATGCTGACAAAATGCAATTCATAAATGAAAAAAGCAATGATATGAACGGTTACGACAGCGATGAGTTTAACTCACACACAGAAGAATTAGAAGACCAACATTCTGGAAACTATGAGCTACAGTTAAACCCACTGGGATATCCTCGTTCTGAATCAACTACTCAGCATCTACCTCCGCATGGCAATTTCATATACAACCCGTTTTATGTGAGCAACGAACTAAAAGGTTCTCATATTTTAACTCAAAAACAAAAGTCAAATAAAAAAAAGAAGCCAATAAAAAAGAGGCGTACGCAAAAAAAAAACTATTATCAAACTTTTAAAAAGAAGCTCAATGATATTAACAGCAACGGCAATGGTAAAAAAGTTAGCGGTAATGAAAACAAAAGTAACGATAACGGTAAGAAAAGTGTCGATCTAAGTTTTGATACACTAGTAACAAATCAAAACTTCCAGTCTTCAGAAGACTCAAAAGAAACAGAAAAAGTAAAAGCGCTAGATAACACACGCAAAATTACTAAAGCATTAAAAGAAATAGCAAATCTACAAACAACAATCAAGGAAAATATAGAGAATGATAAAATTGTGAAATTAAATTCAATGCAAAAAAAGGAAAATTCAAACTTTAAAATTAAAACAGCAGTTAAACCATTTATATCAAGAAAATTAGACACTACAAATTCAAAGTCTCACAATTTCAAAAAACTAAAACCTGCACCATCAATGTTTCAAGAGTTGCAGGAAGTTGATCCATCAACTTATAGTGCAGACCAGCATCCAAACCATGCAAAAGTTTTAAACAAAAAATCAAACAAAATGGCATATAAAAATAAAAGAAAAAAGGGAAATCGTAATTTAAACAAACAGGCCAGCAAGCAGTCCAACAACATACTAAATATACTTTCAACTAATCAAAACGAGAACTCAAGTTACTCAAACTTTTACGATTCAAAAACCAACCAAGAATCTTTTGCATTAAAATCAAGTGACTCGGTTACAGAAAGTGTTGATCAGCAGCCGAGTGTTTCGCAATCGAGTAACTTAGTAACTGAAAATATTGCTAAGCAGCCAAGTGTTATATTTACAGATAATTTAACAAGTTATCCAATGCCTTCTCAAGCTGTCATTCAAAATGAATCGCAACAAACCAATCAAAATGAACTTTATTCTCAACAAACTAACCAATGCGCTGCGTCATGCGGAATGCTTTGTTCTCCGTTTTGTGAAAATATTTGCTGTGAAAATTCAATATATCAAAAATATTTAGAACCTAAGCACGTTGATTTACAACCGACTCCAGCATTGCAAATCCAAGCTCCAAAGAAAAACTACGAAGACGCGTATACTCAATCTCCAAATTCAATATACGGAGAAAACGCTCTATCATTAAAAGATACTAACACAAAAGCAATTAAACTATCCGAAGCAACTTTATCTGCAACCCGACGTAGAATTCAAGATTTAATTTCTCTTCTACAAGAAACATCTAAAAATATTGAGACAAATAATGTAGCTAACACTAATGTCTGCCATATTGGTTGTAAAAAGCATTGTTTACCGTCTTGTCATTTTGAATGCTGCTAAAAAAATGTTTTTTTGACAAATATGACAAAACTTTAAAACCAGAAATTTGACTTTTGGATTAACTTAAAGCAACTTTTAAAAATCACAAAACAATTTTATTATAAAGAGATATAAATAATAAGGAGATTAAAGTGATAAATCAATAACAAAAAGTTATTTAATAATTTAAGGAACATTTTAATGAACATTTTTTTTTAACTAAAATTTCTTTTGATTTATTTTTTATTTAAGGTGGAAGTTTATTTTTTTAACTTAAAAGTTATATATATTTTTATTTCTTTGTTACAAGTTGCTACAAAAGTTGCAGCACTACAAAATTGCTACACAATAAGTTAAATACAACAAGTTGCTACACAACAAGTTAATAAATAACAAGTTGCTACACGACAAGTTGCTACATAACAAATTAAACACAACAAGTTGTTATAAAGCGAACAAGTTGCTATACAACAAGTTATTAAACTACAAGGTGCTACACAAACATTTGCCACACAAAGCAAGTAACAAAATGCTTTTCACGCATAATATACCTTAATAATGTATATACTATTTAAAATCAATGAAAAATTGAGTCTCTTGTAGAATTTGAATTTTTTTTTGTATTTTCAAATAAGAATAAAAACTATGGAGACTATTTTTTAGTTTGCTTTATTTCTTTAGTTTAATTTTAACATTTTTTCTAAATATTCAATCTGAACAACTTTCTTCTCTCAATTTTCATTTTAGTTTCGTATTTTCAGGGTTAAGGGCAGCAAGGTTTTTTTTTTTTTTTTTTTTTATATATAATTTCATTTAGGTATCTCAAGATGTCCTAACGGTCTTATCACAAAGCACCGCGGATGAGCATTTAGTTAGAAGTTCATGCCTCCTTCCAAACCGATGTCGCAAAACTTGCTCAGAGGTGGGGTTTGAACCACAGATCCTTTTTTTCTGAGGCAAGTGCACTACCACTGCGCTACCACTGCACCACGGTTTTTCAAATTGTTTTCAAAATTGTTTTCAAATATTTCATCATTTTAAAATGGTTTTCTGGTATCATAATTGAAAATCTAAGAACTTAATTTCAGACATCCATTATTAGAATAACCTTAGGGTCTAAAGTAAATTTTTTCACCAGTGACGAATCCTGGAGTTTTTGGTGGTTGTGGTGGGGGATGTTTAAACATTTTTGTATTTTGTATCACATTTGCGTCTCCTAAAGAAAAAAGAAAGAGGTCCTCCATTTTTTTAAATATTTTAGAAATTTCAGATTCTAGTTTTTACCCCCCTCCCCCGCGTTAAATGTCCAATATATATGTTCTATTGGAAAGTTAATGAATTTTCACCTACTTTACAAGTTGTTACACGCTATTATATTATATATATGTGATATTATATATATATATTATATATTATATTATATATATATATATATATATATATATATATATATATATATATATATATATATATATATATATATATATATATATTATAGTTACACCCTATTATACTATATATATATTATATTTTATGGTGAAGTGTTTTATGGCAATTGTAATTAAAATTGTTATAGTACTTTTTAGCTTTGTATATATGGATAAGAAATCGTGTAAGAAAAAGGACGAAAAAAAGAACACTAAAATAATGGTTTAGCTTTTTTTATTCATATGGAAGCGACGATGCAACAAGCTATTTCTGCCGTTTTGCCACCAATTTTCTATGACTACCATCAGTGGTTCATCCGTTATCTACGCACAAACATTACTAATATGTAAGTACCTTAATTCAAGAGTAAATCACTATAATTAACATGTTTTCTACCGCAGATATATTCTGCAATGGAAGATTTATGCCTGCCTGCATACCCAGAAGATGACTCAGTTACCTACAAGGACATCAAGAAAAACATTGTGAAGCTTTTCAAACCAAAATTGTTGTTAACACTACGTTTTAATTGTTCAACAATAAAAAACAAAAGTAAAACAAAGAAAGTAACAAAAAGTGTGACGGAAATTCGACGACGGATTGCGAGAGCTTCTAAAGGATAAAAATTTACAGATAGTGATGACCGGATACGGGACCAATATATCACGGGTTTTAAAAAAGGCGTTACAATCAAACGGTTACTATTGGAGCCTTAAGAACTTATGTTTGCAAAGACTGCGGAGGTTACTGTTACCCTTGAAAGAGTGACTAAGGAAGCACAACAATTAGATGGTTCAGAAAATGTAATGATTGCGGCAACATCGTTGTCCAGTTTGATTGACACTCCAGTTAAGCCAAGACAACTGATGTATTGGTAGACACAAACAAAATGACATATTTCAGTTGTTGAAAACATGGACATTATGAATGGGACTGCGAGGCAAAATACAAGATTTATTCTCACGATCATCAAACTTAAAACTGCTTAAAACAATTGCAAAGTTTAAAAGGAAAAGAGAAAAATTTAAAATAATAGCATTCAGTGTTTTCCCGGAAACGACGTTGTTATCATTAAAATTGAAAATAAAGTGAATGCTCCGAACAACATAAGTTGATTCCGGATGATCCATCACAGTTATTTATGCTGAATCCACACATGGTGTTGTTTTAAAAAGTCAAAAGCTCATCACAACTTTGGGAGGAGCTGTGCAAGTGCTAGGTGAAACGTAACCGAATTAGAAATTGATGGATTATTTTTTGTTGTAAAAGAAAAATTATTCTGATTTGATTTGGTTTATCGAATGAAAGACAAGTTGCTACACAACAAATTAAACACAACAGGTTGTTATAAAGCGAACAAGTTGCTATACAACAAGTTATTAAACCACAAGGTGCTACACAAACATTTGCCACACAAAGCAAGTAACAAAATGCTTTTCAACTTGGTTTATCTAAATAAAATGTGGTGTCATTGAGACGAAAAGAAATAAAGGAAACAAAATAAACGAAATAAAAAATCAGAGTTTAACAACAAATTTTTAAAAGTAAAAGTGGACGGCATCGTGGAACTAGTATAAAAAGCCTGAAACTAATAATACCATTTGTGAATACAAGATGAGGCAAGAGCACGAACATAGATACTGTAAAGAATTAAATGAATTGATCAACTCTGGCATTCTTGTACAATATAACAAACCAGCATTGGGATCACCTAAAGTAATGATACCACTTATGCGCGTTGTGCAATAAAAAAACAGAGGCAAAAAGTTACATCCGGTGGGAACCTTCTGAGCTCTTAACAAATTTGTCAATTGTCACACATCAAATGCGGACATTTGTCAAGAGAAACTCCGTCGTTGGAAAAAAATAAAAAAATTCTTGATCTTAAAAAGCCTACTTTCTAATTCATATTTATAAAAAATTTTGGCTTTATTAAACGGTGATTATAAATGGGAAACAGTTTGTTTTACCAGAATCTGTTTTGGCATCAATGTGGCTTTATCAATATTGACCACAATTCTTTAGCAAGTGACCACAATTCTTTTGCACGTGACCACAATTCTATTTGCACGTGACCACAATTCTTTTGCACGTGCTCAATAAAAATCCAACCGTGATGAAACCATGTGATGACTACATTTATGATATATTTGTTGATGAAAGTGTGGAAATTGCAAAAAAATGTAACAAAGCATTTGTATAAATTTGAAATACAATGTAAACCTCCACAAAATCTGAAATCAGTACGTTTTTAAGGATTGAGAGTCAAATGAAATAAAAGTTTGAATCTTTTAATGCAGTATTAACGCAATCAAAGCTCAACATTTTTCTTTCAAAATTGCGTTTAACCATTCCATGGTTAAACGCAGTTTTGAAAGAAAAACATTGCGTGAAAACTCTGGGAATTTTTCAAATATTAATACTAAGGCGGTTGAATACTATTAAAGAAGTAGCAAAAGATATCCATACCGTTGTAGAATGGATTCCATCAAAAATATGTTTAGTCAATCGACATTCACAAATCCTCAAAAAATGGTGCAGAACATTGTGTGCAGCTTTTGGTGTCGTTCGAACATTACAACTTTGTTTGCGAAATAATCAAAATGTATCACGTTAGGAGGTCTCCGCAGCAAATTGTAACTAGTGTAACTCTATTATTCATTACTCCTTAAAATCAAAGCATAGTCAACTAAGCTTTAAACAGAATTGGAATTGAGTTGGCATCGACGTAATGCATGTAGGTGCATCATCATCAAAAGAAGATTTTTCGAAAAAGAGTTAATTTGAATTTTGAGAAAAGCTTTGAGATGTAATAACATTTGAGAAACGTAAAGGGGGTTTCATAAAGTAAGTTCGGTATTGTGATTTAAAACCATTAAATAGGAAGTTGATACAGCTTTACTTTTAGCTTTTTTTATTCAAAATTGAGTTTTCAGTTATCATAAACTTAAATTAGATTTTCATCCTGATAAAAAGTTCTAACTTTTTATGTTTTTTGACTCTATGACTACCAAATCTTTTATTAGTGGAACCAAGGACGTATAAACAGATTAATTAATTAATTAATATCTAGTATATTAATATATATTTAATCTATTAATACCTACAATAATATAATTGTATATCTAATCTATTAATACGTCCTTGATAGAACTAAGGACGTATTAATACTATATTTCTTTATAGATAAACTTCTATTAACACAACAAAAACTATTTCAATATTAAGTTTAGTTTAAATGTAAATAAAACAAAATAGTTTTTCGTGATGCAGATGAGAGAAGTATATTTAACAACTTGATTATTTACTCTGATTCTGTCTTCAAAAATAGGTGTAAAAAAAAGTAATACTTTTTTCTTTAATGATTTCTACCTAATAGTACTTTTGTAAGTGATTTAAAGAAAAAGTAATAAAAAAAATAACAAAAAAACACATGAAAAATGAAAATAAAATATTGTATAGTGGCTAACAGTGGCTAGAATATATTCTTGCTCCGTAAAACAAGCTCAGCTAACAAAGAAACCGTCCTAACATGGTTATTAACCCAAAGTATTAGCTATCCCAAAATGATAACTTTCCCCCATTATGATAACTTTCTCAATATGGCAACTGTCTCAATATGGTAACTGTCTTAACATGATAACTATTTCAAAATGGTAACTGTTTTAAAATGATAATTGAAGATATTTTATACCAAATTAGTGTTAACATTACCTTTTTTTTCCAAAATGATTAAATTGATTAAGGAGAATTAAAAGTAAATGTAATTGGTATTTGTTTACCAAGTTAAATATCTCACAAAATAGTATAGGCAGTATAAAGCAAATGGTTAATTTAAATGGTTATAAAAGGTTATTTTAAATGGTTATCGATGATTATTTTCGTCGTTACTTCATAAAATTAACCATTCTTTTGGAAAGCCTTGAACTGATACCAGACATGCGACCATTTAAAAAAATTTGTTGCTGCAGCAAAAGGCGCCCAGGTTAATGAGGTTTTTTTACTAAAAAAGAAACACATTATAAAAGCCATATTTTTCTATATACTAATGTGAGCGAATTTTTCAGAAGTAGGGAAAAATAATAATTAAACAAAGTTGTTAACATTTGAATATGATTGAAACATCCCTCTCCCTCTCTTCATAAAAGACGATTTTTTTTCAAACAAATTTTTA